TTGATTGGGCGAAACGGATAAGTCGGGCCCCGGGAGTGAGGGGCCGCTTATCTTCACGTGTGGAGAGTTTTTGGGGTTTAGATGCTTTCGCTTTTCTTTTTGTTTCTTTCCCCGTAGAAGTTCAGTCAAGTCATTTTGACTTTGGGACAATCTGGAGCGATCTTGATAAATACAGTCTCGATAATGGCTCTAGAGACATCTCCTACCGAGAATTCCCCGTTGCTGGGATCCGCGTCCACCAACGGCACTATCTCCAACGGCACGATTTCTAATCACTATGTGGAATCAGGGGATCCAGTTCAGACAGAGGATTCAGGCAAAGAGCCGTTCCATGATGCGCAGAAACAGCTTAAATATATTGTGCCTGCCATCTCGCTTGGAGTATGAATTCTTTCTCAATGCTCATTGATTCTGTTATCAGAGTTGTAACTAACGGGATTTATAGATCTTCTTGTCAGCGGCCGACCAAACAATTATTATGGCCAGTTATGGTCAGATTGGTAGCGACCTCAAAGCTCTCAATCTGACCAGCTGGATTGCTACTTCTTATTTTCTCACTCTAACCTCTTTCCAGCCTTTATATGGCAAGCTGAGCGATATCTTTGGTCGCAAGCCATGTCTACTCTTTGCATATGCGATTTTCGGTATTGGATGCTTAGGCTGCGGTCTGGCTCGAGATATCAATGAATTGATTGCTGCTCGTGTATGTTCGCATATGATCTCAGCTCTGAATCATTTAGTGCTGACTATTTTCGAACAGGTCTTCCAAGGCATCGGTGGTGGTGGTATGACCACTGTCGTCAGCATTTTGATGAGTGATCTTGTTCCTCTTCGTGATCGAGGGCTGTGGCAGGGTATTATCAATATCATCTATGCAACAGGTGCCGGTACCGGTGCACCCTTGGGTGGAATTCTCTCCGACTACATTGGCTGGCGCTGGTATGAATGATGCAAGACCCACATCTCTTTTCGCCATCTGACTTTTTTTTATAGGGCGTTTTTAGCGCAATTCCCTCTCTGCATTATTGCATTCATTGCCGTATCGTTCCTGCTCAAGCTGCCCGCTCGCGAGAGCGCCCATTGGAAGACCAAGCTGGGTCGCATCGATTTCCTTGGCGCTGTAGTCCTTGTTGGCGCCGTTCTTGGTTTCCTAATTGGTCTTGATCGCGGCAGTAATGTTTCATGGAAATTACCCCTGACAATTGCCTCGCTGGGTGTGTCTGCCGTCTTATTCGTGATCTTTATCCTAGTTGAGATCTACCTGGCAGCCGAGCCTTTTGCGCCTGGTCACATCATCTTCAACCGAACATTCTTTGCTTGCTATAGCTGCAACTTCTTCAGCTTTGGCGGATGGATTGCCGCCCTGTTTTATATCCCTTTATACTTCCAAGCGGTGGATGGTGTCTCTGCTACGACTGCAGGACTGCGCTTATTGCCAAGCATTCTTTCTGGTGTCTCTGGATCCGTGTTTGCAGGCTTGTTGATGAAATGGTATGGCAAGTATTACTGGCTGACAGTTGTTGCGTATGCTTCCCTGACAACTGGTGTGTTCTGCATATACCTGTTCTCCGGTGGTGTGGTGGCTAGTATAGTCCCGATGATCTTGGGAATGGTAATTTCAGCATTCGGCAATGGCATTGGTGTCACTACAACCTTGATCGGTTTGAGTAAGTTTTTATCTAAGTTAACTTTACACCCCTTCAATGCATGCTAACCACTTCGCCAGTATCGAATGCTACTCAAGAAGACCAGGCGGTCGTCACCGCTTGCTCATATCTGTTCCGCTCATTGGGATCCGTGATTGGCCTCTCTTTGTCATCAACTGTGGTTCAGCAAGTCTTGCGGAATCGATTGCAATCAGGTCTACGCGACAGTAAGAATATCGATCAGATTGTTGAAGGCGTGCGAGAAAGTCTGGATTTCATCAAAACCCTCGACCCAACAACTGCCAGGATTGTCCGGGACTCTTATGGCTGGTCCACCAACAAGGGTTTCGCCTTTTTGGTTGTTGTGGTGTTCTTCGCTTTGTTGAGCAGTTGTTTCATCCGTGAAAGCAAACTCAACCGCTAATTCACAGGTGAAGCTCTATCCAGGGATACTTCAAAAGTTTCAGATTTCCATTATTTGAAGAAAGCGACAAACTTTTATAGAACTTACTACGGTGTGTGGTCTATCTAGCATTGGGTTTGGCTCGGAAATTGTCCATGTTCATCGCATATATACCAAAGAAGCCATACTAGATATATTAGATATAAAAGAAGTTTTTTGTCTATTCCAAAATCCAATCAAGAAAAGAATATAGGTTTTCAAAACACAGACCAGCTAAAGAAATAAGCATCTTCAAGCCATCTTTACTACCTATACTCTAGCTATAACACTAATAAGGGGGAAATATTTAAATAAAAGCCGTATAATAAAAACTTCTAGAAAGACTACTAGAAAGACTATATGTATCTATAAATACTATCGGTTTTCCGTTTTCCGTTTTCCGTTCTTCTATCCTTTTATTTACCTTTCTGTTCTCATTTAAGGATGTCTACTTGCCTAATGGGACCCCCATTCCATGGGCAGGCCCACATTTGAACATTGCGCTTCCCCTATGGCATCGCTTCTCTACTCAATCAGGGAAGACAGGGACGCGGCAGACACCCATCGACGCTATCCATAGCTTTGACAAGGCAGCTCGTGAATGGGCATCTATCAGCGAGTTCGGCAAGCGAAGTCTTGATGCAACAGGGAATTGAAATGCTAGCATGGATTACTACAACGCTCGGTATTCAAGGGTCAAAGGGACCAAGAGTTCAAATAATTGATTCACCGATCAGAAGGTAGGTTTGATCATGATCACTATACCAATGCTTAAGAAACATCGCTAATCAGTTACCCATAGATGGGTGATGTTAGCGCAATACGCTACACAGATATATTTTATTGTCACTGAGCTGCATGATGAGTACATCGAGTACTTGGTTAAAGGCACACGCTCTGGGAACCCCCTCGATAGCAACGCACATCTGAAAATGCAGCTACTGGGACCCTTCAGCATTTTTCCGCCGAAGAGATGCGGGCCGTTGGTTTTCTTGTTGTCGCGCTTACCATTGTCCAGCACCGGGATTGGAAGAAGAGTAAGGAGGCTTAGATAGGAAATGAAAGATATATTCTTCCTAATATAGACTCCCGGGCCTTGAAATCAAAGATACATATTCCCCGAATTTGTAAGTAAACCGTCTTTAGCAAAAGTCATCGGCTAGCATACGTGCTTCCGCGGCCGAGGCAAGAAATGCATCAGCTCCTGGAGACTCCCGCAGATGACGTTGTCTGCGTGCAAGTGTTTGAGAACGGAATAGGAGGAGCCTGGCAAGATGTTGTAGGGAGAGCGAGAAAGGGAACTGAAACACGAAGACGCAGTGGGCTCCGTGGATCAAGCTGTCGAAGCTCAACGCGATGTGCTTCGTCCACTGGAAGGCTAGAACAGTTGAAGCTCACAAAAGTAGATGCGGTGTGCTCGGCATATAAACACTGCACGTAAGATGGAGAAGAATGTGACTGAATAGAGAGCTGCTTTCACGTTCACTATGAGAGATACGGTACTGACTGCGAGTTGTGCAACTTGTGCTGCGATGCATAGAGGATGATATGGGGCGACGAGGCAGTGACAAAAATCCACAACTCCGAGGCCGTAAGCCCTGTGGAGTTTCCTTGGGGAGTATAAGGTATGAATATGTAGGTTATTGGTAGAGCTATAGAGCTGTCGGTATTGTAAGTATGAATGGCGAAGGTCTAATCAATATTGTTGTACACGTGACGAGCGCCTGTTGATGTATTACTCAAGAGCGTCGTCTATAATGGCGGCGAGCTACAGAAGAAGAATGTTGGATTGGTATTCCACTTGCTGATTCCACCGTGGTGAGACTTTTGGGAGCCTTCACCAGGCTTCGCATGAGAGCCGGCAAGCAGATCGAAGAGTTGAGTCCCGCGAGTGTTGAGGGCCTACTTGAGGCTGGTTGACATCGAATGAAAGTTATCTGCGCTAGCTAGCGCAGGAACGAAATCGGAGATCGAGAGCTCTTTGAAACCGGAGGATATTGACTTTGTGGTGGATATAAAATAAAAGAAGAAGGCTGACGCGGGGTCAACAATGCGAATAGCACGAAAGTGTGTACGACAGCACGGAGGAGTAGGATTGTATGCGAGGAGCACTCAGGTTGGCCTGGTCAGTAGATGTTCGACGAAGAGAAACAGTGATTGAAGATCTCAAACAGCCGAGATCGTCAAAGGGTTCGTTCTATCAAGGGCTGGAGATCGGCGGTATGGACGTTAGTGGTTTTTGGAGTTCGGGTTGAACCCCGACTGGTGGTGCTCTGGGGGTCGCAGATGCACCGGAAGTCTCACTGACGAACGACCGCACCACAGTTCCAGTGCTATTGGGCTCTTCTTGGGGCACTAGAAGTGTTATTCAATCCCTCCTTCTACCCAGCATCATCATGGGAGAAAGTGGCTGACGCATGAGCCACCGAGGAGACCATTAAGTCTTTCAAGTCGTGACCACGGCACACCCCCCCCTTCTCAGGCAGCTAGTTACCATCACGGCACAAACTGGCGGTTATCCAACTTCCGCAAAGAAATCACAAACTTATATGTTAACCGGAGAAACTGGTCCGTAAATCTCGCCCACCATCCACCTGGGTAGTTCATAGGCAATTTATCCTTGACACCACTATATATATATATTTTTTAGCTACATTATCGATTTTCTCTAATTCAATTACTAGTACTAAGGTGACAGGTATAATATGAAGGCATCAAGGAAGAGGGATTCTTACCAGGATATTCATTTCTTAGAGCAACGTCAACCTTGAAAATAAGCAAACCAGGATATCCAGCACGATCAGCCAAGCAAAATCATCCCAGCAAATCAATTGCCACAAATCCTTGGAACATTTGCAACGGTGTTTCCTTGTGGAAAAGGCCATGTCCATTTTAGAAGCAGGTTCAACTTCTCAGTCTTTTCTGTCAACCGTATCAAAGTATTTTTCCCCGTAAGCAGGCACAGCAATCATATGTCCTAGATCTAGGAGCTCCGAGAATTGAACGTGAAGCTTACCATCAAAATAGGATTGGAACATACGGCATCCGCCGGATTTGTCCATCAGAAATACTAAATGCTAAATGATATGTTAGTAAATGACTAACGATACCTAAGAAGGAAAGACAAACCGGGAAAGTAAAGTAGCACTTGTCCGACCGATTCTTATACAACCTTTCCCGATCAACCTTGGTCATTTCTCGGTGGGTTAATGCGGCGATCGCAAACAGCTCCATCGAGGAAGGCCGTTTATCACCATATTTCTCCTGGTTGCGGAACCCGACTATTGAGCGTTGGTGGCCCTTATGCTTATGGCAGCTCAGTGAATCCAGAGGAAATTCCAACTTCTCGGTATTTGTACATTCAAAGTCGAGAAACTCTCGGCAAACTGAGAGTAGTACACTTCCGAGAAGAAAGTGCGTGTCACTGGAGTGCAAGTTAGCATTTAAGAGATATGAGATACTTTATCCACTAACCGGTCTACTACCCATCCACTATTAGGGATCCTAGAAGACTATTAGTAACAAGTTTATAAAGGCCAAGACGTATACAAAACCCTTTATGGTGAAAGTCGTTAGATGAAAAACCACACCCCATGAAGGTAAAATAGTTATATTGATCGGTCATCATTTCCGGAAACATGACCATCTCGAATGACTCTAGAATCCATGGGTTGAGGCGAGGACCTGGCACTTCAGAGCAGCTTGCAGCCTTTAGGAAGGGTGAATCTGCTAGATCTGAATCGAGAACATCTCGAAAATCAACCCGAGGGAGGAAGTAGCTTGTAACCGATGGCGAAGAAATTGTTCCAGTGCGGATATCAAACTAATGAAAATCGACTCCGAGGTCTGAAAGCTGCTCGTCTGTCATAGGAAGTTTCCTATTCTCGCGAAGGGTATTGTAGATCCGTTCCATTGTTCGAAACTGGTTTTCAGCGTAGTTAGATCTTGGAGTGCAAGTGAAGTAGAGAGCCGAGAGTAGAGAGGAATGTAAGAATAACGATGGACACAGTATGTTTGCCGCCTTCCAAACAGGTCATATAAAATTCGGCTATCCGATCACGTTTTTCCTGTCCGACTTTTTTCTGAAAAGTTCAACTAGGATTGAGGACATTTTGGCCTGGAAGGGCTAGTAAAAGACTGTAGGTTGCTGCGTTGAGTGATTACCAAATCCACCTTGAAAGCCCTGGAGGTGTCGGAGCTGTGTCCAGTCCCGGTGTCGCTTGTGTACCGTGGAACACTTCCATGGTTCTTCTCCATAACAGGTTCTGTCTTTATCTCCAATGCAATCGATGGAACTCTCTACCTTAACCTCTTAGCTCCAGGTAACACTGTAAATGGTAGAATGTTATAAATAGAATAGTATTCAGAGAAGGCAAAGGAAGGGAACAGCATCCAAGATGCCATTCACCACCTATTCGGCGCATTATCTCACTTCTCATTCATGACATGATATTGTATTCACTCCCTATTGGTGACTGACCTCTAATTGAGTTACCTCTCACTTGTTATTCATGACTTTGTATTCACTCCCCATTGTTCGCAGCCTGCCATTCACCGTTGACAACTTTGGGTGTCTTGGGCTCAGTCTATAAAAGCCCCCACTCCCACCATCCTTTCTCTTTTCTTCCTCTTCTTTTTCATCACTCTCAAGAATCACTCTTCATAAACTCTTCATAAACTCTTCAACTCCACTCTACCTACAGCTGACAGACCTTATATATACATACTCGTTCCTTCTTGCCTACCCTGAAGTCATATACACTTCAGCTCTTATAACTCACTTGTCTCCCTGTCTTCGGTGATACTACACAAGCATTGGAGCGCATCTCAAGGACGATGGCTTCATTCCAGACCATCTCACTCCACATCAATCGTCAAAACCCCTCTCAAATTTCATAGCTACTCGATACAAGTGCTCGCAAGGTTCCTCGTTTTTCCTCTCTCTATCTGGCACAACAGTCATCCGACGTCAGGGAGGAACCTCGGTCCTAAATCCTCAGTATGTGAGTCATATTGCTGACCTCGTTGATGCTCTGGCCAAGAAGGTGCTCAATCTCCCGCGGAAGGACATTCTGATTCTCTCGTATTACAACGAGAGGCACCGGGTCCTATCTGGGCCGCTTCGAAATCTCGGCCACTCAAAGGTCCGTGTTAAGCGTGGACTCCTCACAGGGCTCCAAAAGCCCTGTCAGGGATTGCAGGTCTGGGAGCGCCTTGTCAAGCAACACGAGCAGACTTCTACTTTGTGTCGCGTGAAGGGTAGTTTAGCCCTTCTCAAGCAGCAACTCAGGATCTCCGAAGGAAGTTCCGGATATGAGCGTGCTCTTCGTTGAAAAGGTCGGGGCGATGAGTCGTGGTGACGCAACGGAAGGGTTAGCAGATGGGCTCGTAAGGTGGAAATGGACGAGGATGAATTTCGCGTTTCTTATGTTTCAGTCAGCTTTTATTCTTAGTCACAGCTGGAGATGAATTATTTCCAGTTTTTTACTATTCATATGCTCTATGTAGTCTGGCCCATTTCAACCTTGGAGCTTCTCTATTTTATGCTACGACACCAAGAAACGTTCTGAACGGCGAGCGGCAAACATATAGTCGTATGAACCTTTTTTCCCCTCTGAATTATATATCTCCAAATCCACATTGTATTCAATTGCAAATCACATTATAGGGATTTGGTCCTTGAGCGCCGTTGAGGGATATTCGGCTGGGTTTTCACCATCAATGTGCTAGCAAGGTAACCTTCTAAACTTTTCAATAGAGGAGACAGTCTCCTAATCTAAGTCTATAGGGAAGTAGGTTGTTAGGACCTCATAAAGCATTTGTGGAGGAGAAATCGGGTGGGCGGCTATGATATGCCCCCTATCAGGGAGCAGGTAGGCAACTTCTTGGCTCTATAAGCGTGTCGCAAGAGCTTCATTTAATCTGCGGCAAAGTTCCGGCGTACGAAACTCTTCCCTGTCCATGCTGCTTCTACACTTTGGTGGTCGGTCAATGTTTGGACATTTAGAAGACGGTATAGCAAGCATCTTTTTATGTCGAGAGTGTAAGTCTGCTTACCGATAACCAACCATTTAATGTCCCTTAGCACATGCGGACGGCTTCGGGTGATACTGGTGCATTCTTGGAGTTTTGGTATCTCTTTGAGGGCGGCAAAAAGTTCGTCGCTATCGGGGATGATACCATTGGGTGGATTTTTAAGAGATATCCATTCGGGAAGTCTGCAGCTCTGAGGTGGCATTTTCGCTGGATATGGATTTTTAGCGTTTATTTTCGTCATAGTCTTTGCAATTTATTCTGTTTCTTTGATATACGTTTCGTAGTTTTCTTGGGATTCTTTGCACTGAAGGATGTAGGGCTCAAGTACAGCTTACTAAGCCACGGTCTGGACGGTCCTGTCAGCAACCCGTTGACGTTTTAACCTTAGAAATGCTATCTCCAAGTTGACTGTCATATCCATACTAATTGAGTCTTAATTGACACCGCAGCTCTGACTTGATCTGCTTACCCAGCTGTGATCAGAATGAGCTACACTTTGTGTTCCTGACGTTTTGTGCAGCTTCCTGGCTCAACTTCCGCCAAACCTCCGTCATGTCCGATTCGCGCTCAGGACCAGTCTCACTAGCACGATACCGACCTATCCTCTACCTCTTTACCGGTGTCGCTGCTGCTTATGCGATTCTCTACGTTCACAGTAACGTCATTTCGCAGCCATCATCAACTTCACTCCGTCGTCGAAATGCTGTGCGCCGCGCGAGACCAACCGAACCTGAAGAACCCGGGATCGCTGATACTCCGTCCTATCGAGCTATTACCCACCTTGAACAACTAGAGCGTCAGAATGGTGTATATGGGACATTTCGCATTGAGACAGAGGATGGGCGACGCGTGGAGAGCGGTCTTCTTCCATCGCTCCTCGCAACACGCGACCAGCTGATGGAAGAAGTTGGTGTCCCACCTGCTCATGCAGAGCGCATGCGCGAGATGATGGAAGATACGTTTCTCGAATCCTTCCTTGCGCTTGATTTCCCCTCTGCGCACATTCTCCCAGAAAACACCCCAGAGAGAACATACTTGACGGAACAACTTCAACACCGAGGTATCTCCCGAGCTGGTATCGAAAGAGCTCTTGTCCGGTTCAACGGAGATGTGAATTACGGAGAGGAGCTGCGCCGGCGACGACAGAATGGTGAACGTGTCACTCTCTCAACCTCCACTTTCCCAGACGTGACTGCGCCCCCACAAAATCTTGACGGCGGTGAGACGGTGGTGGATGACCAAAGTGTCTTTTCATGGCGTGATGGAAACAACGATCCTTCCAATAGGGAAGGTCAAAACTTGCTCAACCTACTTTACCACATCGCTGAGGATCAGGCGCGCAGGGACGGCTATATCCATCGTGGAGTTACTTGCAACAGCTGCGGTGCCATGCCGATTCAGGGTATCAGATACCGATGTGCCAACTGCATCGACTACGATCTGTGTGAGACGTGCGAGGCAATGCAGGTCCACATCAAGACACATTTGTTCTACAAAGTGCGGATCCCAGCGCCATTCTTAGGAAGTCCTCGTCAATCTCAGCCCGTGTGGTATCCTGGGAAGCCTTCAATGCTCCCGCGCAACCTTCCACGCCCTCTCGCCAAGCGTCTCATGAAAGACTGCAATTTCGAGAATACTGAGCTTGATGCACTCTGGGATCAGTTCCGCTGTTTGGCTAATTATGAGTGGGCGAACGACCCGAACAAGTTGCATATGGCCATCGATCGCAAAACATTCGACCGATGCTTTGTGCCTAATACTTCTATCCGGCCGCCGCCTCCCAGTCTCATTTACGACCGAATGTTCGCATTCTATGACACTAATGGAGACAACCTCATCGGGTTTGAAGAATTCCTGAAGGGCTTAGCTAGTCTCAACAATAAGAGCAATGACGAACGGCTGCGACGTGTGTTCCGTGGCTACGACATCGATGGGGATGGCTTCGTCGAACGCAAGGACTTCCTTCGTGTTTTCAGGGCATACTATGCGCTGAGCCGGGAGCTTACAAAGGACATGGTTGCTGGCATGGAGGATGACTTCTTAGAGGGTGGAGCCCGTGATGTGGTTCTCGGTAGCCAGCCTATCAGCTCTGCATTCCCTGGCAGCATCCCTTCTGGTGAACGTTCTCGTACAGGCGAAGGAAAGCACATGAATTCCGAAGGGGACATGGAAATCGTCGACAATGAAGGAATCTTGCGACAAGACGGAGATGACACTGGTGATCGACATTTGGTCGTGGGTGATGCTGCGGTCAGATCACAGTTTAGCCGAATGAGGCCATTGTTCCCATCTACACTACGCCTGGCACCCACCGAGACCACTCCTCGACCGTCGGATGTCATGGAAGGTAACCAAAATGACAACGAAGAAGACGAAGATGGTGCTAGCGAGACTAGTGGATCAGACCAATCTAGCTCGTCGGTGGCCAGTGGCATCTGGCCCCCAGCAGAACACATCCTCGAAGAAGATATCATCGAGGCCCTTGGGTCCTATATTCCCGCTCGAGAAATCACGGATCCAATTGATCGGGCTCGCGTGGCGGATGCCGTTTATCACAGAATGCGCGAAGATGACCAGAGACGTGTGTTTGACGCGCGTCAGCGTGGAATCGACGAGCGTTGGAGGCGCCGGGCTTTCTATACGGATGAAGAAGATGGCGCCACTGTCCCCGAAGGGTACGAAAGGGATCCAGCCATCGATGACTCCAGCGATGAAGACCTAGATGAATCCGAATCTCGCCCACCCTCTTTCCGGTCGCGATCCTCGTCCAAAGTGCGATTCCAGGATGATCTCAATGACGACGAGTACGACGTTCGGTCTAACCCGTCAACCTCGTCACGGAGTATTCCTGTTAGCGAGCGATGGGGTGGCTTTGAAATCCCAGAGATCGAGAGGGACGTTGGGAAAGAAATCTTGTATCAAGTCACACAACAGGGATTCAACGAGCTTCTAGATATTCTATTCAAACCGAAAGAGGACCTTCTGATGGAAGTCTATCGCACGCGAGCTGACCGCAAGATCTGGGCCCACGAAATTGAACTCGCAGGAAAAGAGGACCCCTCAAAACGCGCCGCACCTGAGAATGCTCCAGTTGAAGAGGAACTCGAGGAAATTATCAACGATCGACCACTTGATGATCTATTGCAGCGTGCTGGTTACGGAATTCAGAGCCCAGTTTTGGCACCTTCCAATACCGGGGCGGTAGCTCCTTCGTCGCCGGGACCCACCGCTTCGGATGATGATGGCGACGAAGATGAATATGAAGAAGACGATGATGACGACGTGCGACCAGTTCATCTCACCGATCCCGGAGAAGATACTAGATTTGGGCAAGTGCGGCCCTTTGAGGAATCCGACACAGCATCCGCCACTTCGTCTGATTATGACGATGATATCGCTACTTCTCAAGCATCTGGTGCGGAGCCATCCAGCCCGATTGTTGAAAACGATACACTTTACTACGATCCAACCCTCCCACAGCACCGTCCTGACGAGCCATTCACGATGGCCCCGGAAGTGATCGATGAATCCGACTCCGACCTCGAAGAATCCCCAATTACAAACACAAACCCTGATCTCCCTCCTCAGTTCCGACTCCAGCCCGGGACCACCTCTCTTCCCGCCCCATCTTCTCCCCACTCCTCCCCAGAAGCCGAAGCCACGGCGCCTAAGCTTCCTCCCTCCCCTATGCAACCACTCCCACCCCCTCACCGTGTCAATGGCCAGCCTCGTGAGACTCCTGCCCCACGCCGACCTTCGCCCCGAACTCTAGCCCGTTGGGTCTATTTAGACCAGGTAGAACGTGAGAACAAGGAACGTGGCAACGGTGCGAGACTGAACTTTGAAGAGTTCTCGCGCCGTATGGCTGCTGATCGGGGACGCCGACTGGCATTTGTGGCCAGTTGGATTGAGATGGCTAGCTTTTGATTCTGAGGTTCCTAGATTAGCCTAGGTGTAGATTATTGTAAATTAGCGATACTGCGGAGTTGATCCAGATTAGTTACAATGACAATCCGATTAACTACAGAAAAGAAATGAGTGTCTGGTTTTCTAATGGGCTACTAGGAAATAAGAGTTGGCTGTACTCCGTGGCGTAGACATTTATATTAACCCCATCTTCAATATAACATCCACTAGTCCAATGACGGAATTTGCAGCACCTCATTTCTCCAAGGTACTATTATTCCAGCCGAAAATACCTCAGAAATAAGAGTTTTGTGGCCCAGCCCTTGAAGCACGTTCCCTCGTATTACGTGCTTTTGAAGGCCAATGGCTCACTTTGCACCATTGTTATCACCAGAATGACTCCCCTTATCGATTTAACCATAACCTAGTGTTCTTCAACCGTCTCCAGTCTACAAACTAGTCCCAGCCGTGGGGTTCTATCGGGCGAGAGATAAAACCAAGAAATCGCGATTATAATGGGCCCTGACGTGCTGTGTTATTTTGTTCAACATTCGCAACTTTGGGGCCTAGCCATGCAGTACTATAATAGTGGCCCTCTCCAGTGCTATGATCCGTATAGCAACCTCTCACATCTATCATGGCTTTCGAACGTCTGGCCCGGTTCTACCGGTCATGTCTTCTCCAGATTATCATTGTCGGATTAGTCGCCTTCTGCGAGCCCGGTATCTGGACTGCTCTCAATAACCTTGGAGCTGGAGGAAATGCCAAGGTAAGTCTTCTGGATCCTGGGAATCTGTGTAACTACCGCTAACATATTGTGCAGCCTTACCTGAATAATGCCGCCAATGCCTTGACATATGGACTCATGTCAGTAGGCTGTTTCCTTGCCGGTGGTGTCACCAACAAGATCACTGCGAAATGGACATTGTTCATCGGTGCTGCATTCTACACTCCCTATGCGGCTGGTCTATATTGCAACAATCGTTATGGAAACGAATGGTTCCTCTTGCTCGGAGCCGCTCTTTGTGGAATTGGAGCGTCTCTTCTATGGGCTAGTGAGGCTGCCATTGCAGTTGGATATCCGGAGGAGGAGAAAAGAGGACGGTGAGTTGGAACTCCAGACCATCTGCGTGTTATTATTTGACTGACTGTTTTATGTTTAGCTATGTTGCAATCTGGATGAGTATCCGCCAGATGGGACCGCTTGTTGGTGGTGCGATCTCCCTCGCTCTCAATGTCAACACGGCGCATGTTGGCAAGGTCACGTACACAACATACTTAGGTCTCGTTGCCATCTCCTCCCTCGGGGCTCCATTTGCATTGCTGTTGTCGCAGCCACAAGATGTCATCAGAAGCAATGGCACCAAGATCCCTTACATGAAGAAAACCAGTCTCTCTGTCGAGTCTCGTGCTATCTGGAAGCAACTTCGCAATAAGTACATGCTGCTACTCATTCCGGTCTTCCTTGCGGGACAATTTGGTGCAACTTATCAGGGAAACTATTTGACAAGTATGGCATCTCCAATTCTCCTTTCTCGGTTATGAATGGCACCACTAACAGCAAGATTAGCTTATTTTACCGTCCGCTCCAGAGCCCTTGCTTCTTTCTTGACAGCCGTGGTCGGCGCTGCCGCCAATATATCGACAGGCCTATTCCTAGATCTGAAATTTTTGTCTCGAGGAACCAGATCTAAAATTACGTACATTTTCGTCCTTGTCTTTGTCACAGCGTCTTGGATATGGAACGCCGTCGTCGAGACGAAACTCTCCCACATGGCTGAACCACCCGCCTTCGATTTGGGCGACGGTCCCTTCTTCAACTCAGCTTTCACCGTCTACATCTTCTTCCGATTCTTCTATGAGGTGCTACAGACATACATCTATTGGTTGATGGCCGAGATTAAGGGGGCACAGGGAGATGGCGATATCGCTAGAACGACCGGTATCCTGAGATCGTGGGAGTCCATTGGCAGCACGATTGCTTACGCGGTCGGCGCAACTCACTGGCCTAACTTGAACCAAATGGCACTGGGCTTTGCATTGTGGGGTGTTACGATTCCATTTACACTTCTCGCGGTGTTTGGCAATTGGAATGTTGCTCAGACGATAGGGGTGGAGGAAGAAGAACAAACAGACAGCAGTAGCTTGGAGGCACAGCGGGTTGTTGTCAACTCTGACGGGAAGGATTAAACATATTCTGTTGTGGTTGAGTGAGATATTTGGCAAAGGAACAATTCAGGTAAATCGGGGCAAGTGTTGCTTCAAATGTAATAGAGCTTGTGTCCATGTCGATGTTGATGCCCTAGATATATATAGATGGGATTGAACACCAGCATTAGAATGTTAAAATACACGACTCAAACTTTTCACAAGGATCCACTGTTCGGTTAGTAGTACCATGTTAAACCATCTAACTAATGTCTATTTAGTTATTCTTTGGGGTGGATGGCAATCTAATGTCAACATGGGCTGTATTGGTACATTATAATAACCATTTTGATTAATAAAGCCAAAACTGACTCTGTCTTTCATCAATTGGCCCAAGTGGTCGAGCAGTTTCCTGGTCTAGCGGTTATGATTTTCCGTTAACAAATGCGACTAGCATATGTTCCGGAAAGGTTCTGGGTTCGATTCCCAGGGAAACTATTTTTTGATCTTTTTGTATATTTAGCCGTATCTTTTTTTTGGCACTTTCTTTAAACAGTTCGAGTCAATTGATGTGACTGATCTGTAGTTGAGTCCAGTAGAGCCATATGACTATACTTGTGGACATCTGAGGAACAAGGCAGCCCCCAAACCTGGAATGTATGGAATATTAGCAGAGGAAAAAAAAAAAAAAAAAAAGTGGACCACCCAAGTCAAATTAGAGACATAACATAAATCACAGACATAATCTCGTACTGATGAATACAATGAAAAAAAAGCCGAAATCATAACATGGTCGTGTAGCACAGGGGAAAACATATGAAGTGAGGTAAACATAACATATCAAGACAACCAACCCGAACGCCAGAAGAAAAATAGAAATCAAACCGAGAAAATCAACAAAACCACCACCCTAATACTGTTTCCTTTTGTACCGCTGGCTGACATATATCTAGGGGACATGTACACAGTCGCATGCGGCGAGAGCTGGACGATTATTTTCCTCCCAGCCCGAGGGATTTGGTTTCTTGTTCCCTTTCACCTGGGTTGGGTAGCCGCCTGGGCTTTTGTTCTGATTGAAAATCACCAAGACCCCATGGTACCTTTCCTCCAAGGGGGTTCAAACTGGACAGTAGGGTATTCCAAACGGACTCGTAAAAAAAAAAGAAAGAGAAAACCAGAGGAAAACAGGACAATCCAAAGGGCTTCCACGGGAAGACAATAGAAACAGAACAGTGGCATCCAAGCGGAAATTTAAAAGAGACGGCCATTCTCCATCCGGTGGATTCAAGGGCTTGCGAATCTTACACGACGGCCTCGTCGCTCCAGAATCAATCTCTCGGTGTCAACATAAAGACAATCGAGAAACTGCATAGCGCTAGCATCCCTCAGGATCTTCGCAACCTGCGTACCCGCAGAAATGAGCTGCAACACGTTGCGGTCATCCTTGACCGGTCGAGATTGGTGCTTGGCAGCATGACGCATCTCCAGGGAGTTCTCCAGGACGGTAATGAGCTGCTTAATTTGGCGGTTGTACAAGAGATGAGCCGGGATGCGGCGTGTAGTAGCCAGCCGTTTCAAGAGGTATACCCATTCAGTCCACTCACGGTCCGAGGGGACCTTGACGGGTCTCTTGTCCTGTTCGATGGGAACACGGAACTGGTACTTTGCGATGAAGTCATAGGCACACTGGGACAGACGGTCGTTGACCTTGTGGAGGATTCTGTCTTGCTCGCCGGCATCGAGGTTAGTAGGGAGCTGGGGAAGCTCTTTATCCTGGGCTGCGACAGCCTGTGGGGAAGGTGGCTCCAGGAACTGATGTGGGCCATCAAATTCATCCCGGTTGGATGCCCGTCTCGGGGAATTATAGTGTGGGCTTCCTCTGGTTCTCTCAGCAGCTCGCTGGTTATTTCTTTCCATGACATACTCCGGGCTTTCCGGGGGGTTCATGGTTCCAAGCTCCCGCCTTAGGGATTCGCGAGGCATGCTCGGGTGGATCCATTCATGTGTCCTGGGCTGTGGGTGGGCCGGTCCAGCTGGAGGGTAGGATAAACGTCCCGTGGGTGGATTCATCATGTGGCTGTGGCTATCCAGATGAACTGGACCTCCGTGGTAATGGGTTTGATGGTTAGAATCCATGGGACCGAAGGGCAATTGGCGGTCGTCTCTGTAGCCATATCCGTGGGGAGTAGATGGTGACCTTTTACCGCTTAGCAAAAGGAACAAAAGCGATTTTTGTCGATGATAGCTTGGAAAGAATTTGCAATGAAGTGAACGATGACCAAACAATACCTTTGCTGGTAGACCACGGGAGGGTTTGCTGGGTGTCCATACATGGAGTGTTGAGCCATGGTGCTGCTACGGAGTATGAGTTTCGGATTCCAAGAGGGTTGGCACGGAAATAAAGGAAGGAATGGCGATGCTGATTTTGCTAACCTATGGCGAGACCGAGTATCAAATTTAGAATTGATAGAGCTTGCACAAGAACCGAGACTTGCTGGCAAAGAGAAAGGATAGACCGATCCACCCGCCAATGGATGAGGAAGGACAGGAAGCATGAAGAAAATAACGGAGTATTACAACAGCCTAATATAACAATTGAGAACTTGCAAGATTCAGAAGAGCAGCGAGTGAAAGAAGATATATATAGATATAGATATATATCTATATCTATTGGGTGCGTTAAGCGAACGATTTCACGAACGCCGAGAAAAGGGCAGGTATTATAGTCATTTTTTTTTTTTAAAAAAAAGCCACTTTGCCGGGGCCAAACGGGTTCGAGAGTGTGCCTGACAAAGAGGATCAGAACCAACCCATGTCTATGCAACGGCAGTGTAACTGGATTCAGAGCCGCGCTAGAGGACTTTACGCTAGTGGCGTTGGTGGAGTCAAAATAGATGGAGAAAGGACCCGTGTTGCCTGGGCATCGTCGGTTTCAAGAAAACCAATCGCATAACAGGATATGGACCGTCTGTGTCGTTTACTTTGAAGATCTCGATCGATCAAGAATAAGACCGGTGTGTAAAGCTCGTTGGCAGCCGAGGCGCCGTGAGACGCCCCTGTCGGTGCATGGTATGAATCTGCATGGCAAACATTGCATCCAAAGCTCCGATCTTCATCAATTAGAGGGGAAGCACCAACATGCTAGGTGCCGTACGACCTTCATTCTGGTTCGATAATTGTATTGGGGCAAAGCCTCGGGCAGCAAAGCTGGTGTTGGGTAGAAAACGCAAGGATCGGGGTTCTGGACTTGGACATCATTGACCTATGGATACCCAAATATACAGAGAGAAGATGTGATCTACACCCTCGAAGGTCCTGGAAGAAATGTAAAGATGAGTTGAGGTGCAACATGCAATTCCGCAGTTAATTTGTGTTGGGCACTCGGGCTGTTTGGGGCCCAATGCAATAAGCCGCATGGGCCATGTCTCTCTTCTGGAGACTCTTCTGGAGATCCGGGTGAAACAAAGGGGAAATATGATATCAAAGTTTTCAAATGTGGAGAGCTCAGCTGTTCTGATGGCGTACGATCTACTCTTGCAGCCCAACAAGAAGCCCAATGCCTATGCTTCCGAGGTCGAGACTGCCGTGGAATATTGTTATCAATGGCACTTTAAGCGGTCATAGAAGATATGATGAAACCTTCCAAGCTAAAAGGCGCTCAAGCAGGAAATCTTAACCATCAGAGTATTTCCAGAGAACCGGGAATACTATGTGATTTCCATCAACGTGACATCCTACTGTTTTTGCCGGCTTCCACCATTGAGGATGGGTAATTTTACCCCGAGGCGAGAGGCATAATCCTGGATTACTTGGGTGAGTACGGCAATAGAAAAAAATTCGCGCTTGTGACATCTGCTTACCTCGCAACTCAAACGGATGGCTTCTTCGATACCAAGGCGTGCCTCGTACCCCAGAATCTCCTTAGCTTTGTTGCCGCTAGCATACCGAGTGGCACATGCATCTTGTATGCTTCCACGGCTCAAAGTTGTCGTTGTTCCCATCAACCAGGTGACCGTCTCACACGCCAGTCCGGCGAAGTAAGCCAGACTCTTTGGGATATGAATTTCAAAGACGGGACGTGCCTAAAATGTGCCTAGATCGCCAGACAAAAATTGCGGAAGACGATAGGTTCGTTATTCTGAATGAAAAAGGCCTCGCCTGCAGCGGTGCGGGATGATAGCAGATTCTCTATAGCCAGGATATGAGCGTCGGCGGAATTGTCAACGTGGGTGATATCCCACAAATTGAAGCTATTTCCGATAAAAAACGGGGTTTCATATTTGGCGATGCATGCGTGGATAGATGGTACTAGCTGGTAGTCTCCTGGTCCGCAGAGCACCGATGGTCGGAGGGCACATGTCACCATTTTGCTGCTGGAGGACTTTAGAACGAGTGCTTCTGCAGCAGCCTAGCAAAATATGTCAGTGGCTTGTTCTCTGCCAATTTCGAGAATTATATTGATGAGGATTGGTAGTTCCAACCTTGGACTCTCCATAAATGGTTGACTTGAATGCCAAGGGCCATTCTTCATTGATGTTAGGATGAGCGATACGTGTATCGTCGATCACCACGCAGCAACTACTCGTGTATATGAAGACTTCAACCCCGCTCTGCTTGGATGCATCCAGCATATTCCGTGTGCCTTCAAAGTTGATCTTCTATACCTCCTGCTCAAGTCGGCGGCCGAACCGTTCGGCCAAATCTGGGACGATTCCAGCAGCGTGGACAACAATATCTGGTTTCACAACTTCAAATGCTTTGCTTAATGCTTCAGTTGAAGTAATATCCACCTGCATGCACGTAGTTCTCTTTGGAAGGATGTGCTCGGATCGTGGGGGACTATGGTCGATGATGGCGATGACAAATTTTGGGTGTTTTTCTGCAAGAGCCCGCACTATGGCCGAGCCTACAAAGCCAGTGCCACCAGATATAAGGACTTTCTTTGCTGCGTCGGTCATTGTGGAAGTTGATTGAGTGTAAACAATATGGGGGAGGGTTTAATGTGGAGGAAGGTCAGACCGGCAAGACAGAACTGTGCGACATCACAACCATCTAACACCTTGAGAGCACCTCAAATGATACTGGATATGACGCCTGATAGAGGCTACTCAATTGGTCAGAATATTCTTGTTTTTCATTCAGATTTGAAGTAGGTTCTTATTCTTGATGCCTGAACCAGTCTAGTTCAACCTCAAAGATCCCATGGATGTGCTTGATGAACACCATCCTCGTTCTCTTCGTCCTCCTCCTCATATGCCTCTTCATATAACTCTTCATGTTCCTCTTCGTCCTCATTCTCCTCGTCCTCATATGCCTCTTCATGTTCCTCTTCATCCCATTCTTCCTCATCCCAATGACCATCAGGGTCCAGTCGACCCAACACTGCTTCTAGTCCAGGATAAATACAATGATCACTGGACAACTCTTCCAACTCCTGTAACTTTGGCCACAACGATTCTGGACTCGCTTCATTCTCTCTGATCTCGAGGATTTCCAACATGCCTTCCACAACAGAGGTATCCCATTGGAACCGCTTTTGCACCTCATGGCCCAGTGTATCGTTGGAAGAAAGCGTAATCGTCTTACCAATTTTGCGTAGAACAGAGAGCCCATTGAAACGTGTCTGAGGGTTGGTGAATGGTCCACACTGTTCCGTGATTGATTTGATGGTATCGACGACATCCTGGGCGACCTCGAACGAGACATCGTACTGTGCCCCTCCGCCCATGGAGCGATATTCGACGTTAATCGATTGCCACACTGAACTGGAATAATGGTCGAAGTTGATAATGCGATTTTGCTCTTTCTCCCAGATGACGCGAATGGCATCGTCCACCATGCTCATAACGTTAGGATGGATTTGGGCCGCTTGCGTGAGAATATCGGTGACAGTTTGTCGATTGAGGTGCTGAATTTTCTCCAAAATTTATTCTGCTGGCGGCACTCTCGTATTGATGTGGGCATCGCCAATAGTATTGGATCGCGCACGTTTAGCGCTTTGAGGTCCAGCCATGGTTGGTAGTTCTATGCCCGACGATCACTGAATGGGTCAGGGGGACAAAGACTGGATGAGAGGACAAGATGACCTTGTAGAGTAAATGAGGTGATATAAGAGAAAGAAGTTGAAGAGCGCAAACGATGGACCAGAGGACGAAGGGCCAAACAGAAAGATAAGGAGTGGCTACCCGGGGGGAGGGGGGTGGATCATGGCTATATCAGATGAACACGCCTGGACATGTTTTTGGATGTTTCTTTTCTTAGCCACATGGACTGGATTATTGAACTATGCCGTCAAGAACACAGGAAGCATAAGCCAAATATTCGAACTTGCCCATGATGATTTGGCCATGGTCATTCGCCGTGCTATTTACCTACACCATACCCCTAGCACTTGGGGTATGGTCAATGGGACATGAGTATAACTATGAAACTAGCCTAAGAAGTGATATTACTTATTACTATATTGTAGAAGGGGAGTACGGAAATATTTCAAGTCATAATCTATACACTGTGTCACATTGAGGACAGCTGCAAAATCACCAGCAGAGCACAGAATGCGAGATACGCAGACATCTAATATACAGATCCTTGACCCAGGTATTATCCCAACAGTCACAAAAAGACTAATCTCGAAAAGAGAAAGCGCTGCGACTAACCAACAAACTCCAAAGTAAATGCAAGAAGAGAGACAATCTCCCCGGTGGGTAGCTCCCCTAAATCAGAGATAAGCCGCGAGGACAATCGCAGATTTATAGCACACGGCACAAAACCAGCCCACCAAGCTTTTTCTCAACACACTCGCGAGCTTCTAGAATCCCTTGGTCTGTAGAGAGGTATAGACTCTCACCTGGCGAGCGAATTCCGGCCACAAACCCGGATTCCTCACCACGCACAACTCGGCGCAGACCCTCCACATCAATATTGACCCGTCGGGTGGGCTTGCTGACCATCTTGATCTTGCCGAGGACCGACTCATTTTGCCAGTACTTCAGGCCCAGCCACAGCCGCCTTGATGCGACATTATCGCGCGTTATTGGCTCAATGCCTTCAGCTTCATCGTTGACTGCAGGGTAACCGAGGATGCCATGGGCTGGAGGAGGAGTCGGACCTCCGCGGGCCACGGAGGAGATGTAGCCGGAGTTTTGGAGAGCGAGGGAGAGCTTCAGGTGGAGGTTGCTGTTAGGGATAGAGGTGAGGGCGAGACGGGCCTTAGTAGCATTGTTCAAGTGGGCGCAGACGGCGGAAAGATTGACGAGAGACATCTTGATTTCGCGGCGGCAGCAATTAAGCTCTACCGGCGGCGGTTCGAAATGGTGGAATTGAGCAATGTAGGAAGAGGAAGAAAGATAGGGATCCCGGATAGACCAAAGCGAAGACCGAGGAGGACCACAATGGACTGCAATTGTCTGGGGAAGCAAAGACACGGCAGGAGGTGTTGCAGCCGACTGAAGATGCGATGATTTGGGATTGGAAATTTTCGGATAAAGTATACTTCCGGATCGCGGTCTTGTCCAGGTACCCGGTACTTCCTCGCCCATAGCGGAGATGTGTGATGACCAGGTACTAGTACCGTCCTATCACATCACATCTACATCTTCTAAGCGCCCAACTTGCATGGCGGTTGAATGCTGGAATTTCACAGGTTGAATACCCCTCAGGCCAAGGTATAAATAATAAACGTAAGTTCCTCTTTTTCTTTTCCCCTCTACTCGCTGCTATCGTTGTATACTTGCGCATTCCGTATTTTGAATTGTCAGACATGCCACCATCAGCGGGCGAAGAGCGCCTTGTGACTGTGTGAGTTGGACTGACTTCCCCGCAGATCGATATGAACTAGTCGTTGGACTGTGTCTAACTGCCAGAATAGTTTTGCGGATATACACTACTACTTCACAGAGCCAACCCGAAGACCTTCACCATACCACCACCGCTTTGATAAAGGCTCTTACGTTTATATTTACCATGACGCCTTTCAGAATAAGACCCGCATAGAAATTGCCAATAATCCTGGATCTCCAGAGCAGGATGCATTCTGTGGAGGCTTGAGCAATGTTCATATACGACACTCTGCTCAATTCCCGACATTATGTACATTAACGGTTGATGCACACCCGGCCTCGCCCCAACATCAATATGCGCATGATACCCCTCAAAGTGAGTGGCGTCTGCCTAGCGGCGACCCATGCGATGACCCCAAGGAAGTCCGTAATTTCCCTCGCTTGCATACATTGGATATCTACTTCTGGACCCAAGAAGATGCAACCGAATTTCTGGACGCTGCCGTCCGGCTTCTATCCAATGCCCAGGTCGAGACAGACCGAGAGCCAGCCCCGCAGCAACAGCAAACTATGAGCTCTGTAGTCCAGCAACTGGAGACAGTTGCAGTCTCCGACCCTGCCTACCAGAATGGTCAAACACGCAACTCACGATCCGAGCCCACAAGCACAGCGGCACCCCTGCCACAGGCGCCTCCACCAACCAGCAGCTTCCCCCCACCTCCTCCAAGCGGACCTCCAGTGGACCAAAGATTAAGCGCTGGTTCTACTCCCGCCGAGGAAAAGAAAGACCCAGCTAGCTTCGCCCCGCTCCCTTACAATCCAGCTGCTCCAGCTGCCCCAGAGCCAATCCAACACCGCGAAAAGACTCCCCCGCCAGAGGACGGAATGAGTGGTACGGGCCTCGCAGCCGCAGTGGCAGCCGACAACGGTATGCCATATACGCCCCCGCACCAAATGATGGGGGGCACAGGCGGCGTCGGCGGATATGCATCCCCACCCCTCTCAACCCCGGGGTTGCAATACGCAGGCCCTCCAGTCGCAGCGCCGCCAACATTCGCGTCCCCTCCACCCAGTGCAGGACTGCAGCATTCAAACTCTTTCTCCACTACCCGATCCTCGGTCCACAGCCCCGGAACCCCTGTTCCTTCGTACTCGCAGTCGTTCCTTGGCGGGCAGGGAGGTCAACAATACAGCGCAAGCCGACAAGGTTCAATGTCCTTCGCCCCACCGCCGCAAGATCCGAATGCCCATTTATATGACCAGCAGGTCTATGGGGCTGCTCAGACTCAGTCGCCCCCTCAGTATCAGGCTGGGACGACAGCGCCGGTAGGCGGGCTCTCGAACTACTCGTATGACCAGACTCAAGCGCAGCAACAGCAGCAAAAACAACAGCAACAGCAACACCAGCGTGCTGGTTCTGAATATGATATCCATAGTCAGCTGTATAGACCGACTGAAGTGGAGGCTAGCTCTCACTATCAGAAATATGCACAGAAGGCCATGAAGAATCCTGGACAGCGGCCGAGGAAATTGGAAGATAGAGCAGAGCGGTTGGAAGGTGGTATGAATAGGTTCCTGAAGAAGCTTGAGAGGAAACTTTGAGTGTCTTTTTTTGGGGGGTAGGAGTTTGAAATTCTGCGTCTTCTCGTCAGAGATCTCTGCTGGTCATGATCACCTTGAGAGCTTGCTATTACTCGGTCGGCTGCTGAGCAGTTCGATGAGGATGGGAATCAGCACAAGAATATAGCTTAGCTTCTCAGTTTGATGAGAAATGAAGTGCTCAGTAGATACGAACGGAGAACTGATAGTATAAAAGCTTTGTGCCCCGCTATATTGATAAACCAAGATGCTAAATTGGATAATGCCCCTAAGCGCTAAGAATAATATGCCCACGAAATTGGTACAAAGTATGCAAGAGATAGACAAAGAATAACAAGACAACCCAAAACACTGATAGATGTAAAAATGCTAGCATAGAGTAAGAAAGAGACACGGAAGAATGGAGGGTGAACAGGTTGAGGGTAAGCCTTGATAAACGGAAAGAAGCTCACGCTCGGTGAGATAGAAGACAACAGTGAAGAGTATGATCAGAGAAGATTAAAATGATGTTCAAAATTTTACCAGAAGCGAAGATGGACCAGCGAAATCCATTTCAGATAAACGCGGTGCAGTTCTGATGTAGAGCGCCTAGTTCAATGCCAAGCTGGCAATATCGATAGCGACGTTGCTCGACTCAGCTTCAGTTGCAGGCTGCGCATCAGGGGTAGGCTCTTCAATCGACTTGGCCTCTGTGTGGTTCTCCTGTGCCAAAGTTTCAGAGACAATAACCTCCTTCACTGGCACAGCATCTTCTTTTTCGGAAGCCACGTCCTGGGCCTCTGTTGATTGAGGAGTCCCGAGCACCTCTGGTTCGGGGATCGAGATCTCTTGCTTCTCATCGACCTTCACTTGATCATCAGCCGTTGCGATTTCCACATACTCTGCGGCAGTCTCCTCAGGTGCAGTGGTTCCAGCAGCCTTCTCTTCCTCAGCAGCCTCAGCGATGGGGTCAATAAGGGAGTCGACAGGGGCATCCACCTTAGCCTGGGCTTCATTGGAATCAGTAGGCTTAGCTGGTACCTCAGTAGCATCTTCGACCGGGACGGGGTTGGAGCTCTCGGCCACTGTCTCCTCGATGATCGGCTCAGGCACTTCAATTGCCTTCTCGGTTGGCTCAGCAGATGCGATGGCAACTTCAGGGGTAGATTCTTCAACCTGAGTAGGGGAAGCGGTCTCCTCGACCGGCTTGGAAGCAGCTTCGGGTAGTTCCACAGCCGCAACAGGGGTTGGTTCCACTGATGTAGGCTCCACGACGTTCTCTTTCTCACTTTCCTGTTTCTTTTGGGACGACTTATGTCCATCTTTCTGTGGCGCAGGCTCCTTGTTCAGAGGCTGGGATTTCTGACTCTGAGGTCGAAGAGCAGTGCTCTTAGGCTTCACCTGGTGGACGCCACGATCTGGCACCCTCCCAATTGATGGCCTGGGGGCCTTGGAGACATTGGCGGCCTTGGTGACAGGCTTTGCATCAGTCTTCTCCTGGGGATGGGACTTGTTCGCAGAGCTAGCAGTAGGCCGCATCATTCTCGCAAGGAAACCCTCATTGACAGGCTTAGCGCTTGTGTCATTAGCTGCGTGAGCGGGCAACGAAGGGCGAGAAGATTGTCGGCGAATGCTGGTACTAGGAGTAGTGGCACGCGGCTGAGCTCCAGTTGCGCTTTTCAGGGATGAAGGTTTTCTTGTGAGGGTTGATGCACTAGTAGTAGTGCGAGTGCTCGGAGCCCCTGTGCTTCCTACCTTAGCAGCAGGTGCATGCGTTGAGGTAGTCACCGAGCCAGGTACACGGGTAGGTCTCGGTGGGGATTTCACTCCTGGCTTGCTGGATACACCTGCAGCATGTGGCTTTGAAGTATCTTGTGCCGTTGCTGAGCCGCGGGTTGGCCGTGCTGTCGTCTTGGGATTCAGTGAGACACGACTGGGTTTGTGGACTAGAGAGTTGGCACGCTCTTTAGCCACTTCGCGAGCCGTGGGCTTGGAGCTTGTATTATGACCAGCAGATTTCGTATTAGTTGAAGTTGCAGTAGTTGGCACGGACTTGCTCGCTGCACTGCGGGCAGATCCAACGGAAGAAGGCTTCTTCTTGATCACTACTGACGAATCTGACTTTTGCGAGGGAGTGTCGGAGCTTGTCGACTTGGAATCCGCGGAGGTGGACTCCTCTGTCTGCTTTGGTGGGGTGTTTCGCGACCGAGATTCAGTCTCAGTGCGCGTTGCGAATTCCTCCTTGCTAGTCTGATTCCGTTCACTCTTGGCTTCCTCCGGTCGGCCGGCAGCCATTATCTGTCCCAGAGTCGCGTTCTGTGTGTGGTCTAGGCGACTGAGCGGGGTGGGGGAGATCGTACTCTGCCGTCCAGACTCCGCATCCCCGGAATTGATCTTCGGTCCAAACATTCCAGGACTATCGCTGCGGCCACTTGTTTTCCTCAATGGCGAAGAAGGATTCGACTGAATGACCCCGTCTACGGTGATAAAGCTAGCCCGGACCTTGGACAGCTGGCGAACTGTTCCTGACGAGTCTGACGCCGTTGGGGATCGGCCACGAGGCGGGGGAGAGGCGATGGGGCTTTGGCCTTCAAACTTGGCTAACAAGCTGCGTACCCCAGGATGATGGGGGTTGTTATCGGACATTATCGCTGAGGGTACGACGATCGAACAAGGGCGTGTATGCAATCGAGGGGAAGCTGGAAATGCGTGCGCAGAGCACAGGGGTGCTCCTGAAATCAGGTCAAAACGGGATTGTTGTGACGTCTAATCGGATACAGGCAGATCCCACTGCATGTGCCCAGGAGGGTTCAGTCTCAACGCGTCAAAGTCAGATAGAGAATTGGTATGAGACAAGAGGACACAAGGTGTGAAGAAGGGCCGATCCAGAAACTATTACATACATACGCGCTAGTTAAGGCTAGCGTATCCAATAGGCCAACGCCTTGCGTTGTACTCCGTACTCCGTACTCCATACAGAACTCCCCTGTCTCAGGGGTTTTCATTTCTATGTGACAGGTGACTTCATCCTTGAGGGGTTAGATTAATTTTACCGTATAGAGTACTGAAACCCCCTACGAGGTCTGAAACATAGTATCTGGACACATTTACAAGTGGATCTCGATTTAAGGGGCAATGTGTGCCTGAGGCAGAATATAAACACAGGTTCATCCGAACTGTAATTTCCACCAATTTGGGCCCTACTGGGGAAAACTGGATGGTTTAGTACCTATATGTGCTAGGTTATACCTGATAGCAAGGACATGTGTCACAACGTGGGGTTTGCCCCGTGGCTCTAGAGGAAATTAGATGACGGTGATAATAGCATAGCCAAGAAATAAAAGTCTCACAATTAACGTTGAAAGATACCTATGTTGTATGCATAAAGGTAGATCGATAGTATATCATATATTTATCATATTGGATTTAGTATAAGGAAAAAGGCCAATTACCCTTGGACTTTATACAATTCCATGCCAGACCCTGTATACTGTACCCTTCAGCCAATGAGAGGATACCGGGATATGCCCAATGGAAGCACGTGACGGTACCAGACCCTCCTATACGAGGCTTCTCCAACTTCCTTAGCTTCTTCAAATTGATATGAACTGATGACTCATAATGGTAGGTGTACCTCGGAGCAATGGCTGCTCACTCTGCGTTAAACGCCGAGTCAAGGTGAGTGGATTATTCATATGAAGTCCGGTTAAAAAGTCCCACGCCATATTGATAACGCCACAGTGTGATCAAAGACTTCCTGGGTGTGCCAAATGCGACAAGTATGGACAACCTTGCCCTGGATATGACCGGGGCTTTAAGTTTATTACTGGAAAACCATATCGCGATCGGCGTCGACCCAATCCAAAGAACAATAAAAAGGACGGAGCACGTCCTAAGAGTGCAACATCGGATCCTATGATTGATCTTGAGCCAACCTGCCAGACTATGGCCCAAAGAGAGAAGCCATCCTCTCTTGTCTCTGTGGATATGAATATTGTGCAACACCTTTGTGTTCTCATTGACGATTTCTCTCAACCATATACCCCCAGCCCAACACATGTTGTGGTCCGATGGTTTGGATTTCTTCCCTCCATTTATGGCCAAAATCGAGTATTGGATGCCTCAATAAGGTCTTTCACAGCGCATCATTTTGGGCGTACTACCAAAAATACCCAAATGGTGTCGTATGCCCGATCAGCTTATGGGGAAGCTCTACATGGGCTCCGTAAATCGCTGGAAACTCCCGCAGAGAGTCTGTCGTCTCATATATTTTGTGCGGTGGTACTGCTATGCATGTATGAGGTAGATAGCTTTTCACACCCATGTGATTCATATGCCAGTGACTGATCATATACAGCTTTTCACAGACACCGAGAACCCAGAGTCGTGGATGAAGCATGCCAAAGGGCTCGGCCAGTTAGTACAGATTCGAGGGCCAGAAAGGTACAACACTGAGCTTGATATAACGTTGCTCAAAGCTGCCCGAGGACTGATTGTAAGTTTGATTCATGGACTCTTGCCCTTCATCTCCCTGAGACGCCTCATAAAATCAGTCGCAACTTGGACTAGACACTGACATTCGGATAGGTTATGCACTCAATGTTCTCCGGGGAAGTGTGCTTTTTAGCCTCCGATGAGTGGCATGATAAGATGCGACAGCAATATACTTTAGATTTGCCTCCAGAAGTACACAACAGCATCGAACTATTCTTTGTGTATTTCACATATGCTCCGGGTCTTGTGCATAAGCTCTATAGTTTGAGGCATGTCGACGCTACCGGTGCCGAAGCTCTACAAACAATCTCAGGGGTTTTGTCCGAAGCCCTTGAGATGCAGATGAAACTGGCTATATGGTATCGACAATTTTCTCAACTCGCACCGCCGCCAACTGAAACCCTCTCCTCAACTGGGGATGAACTATATCCTATTATCCTCAAATACACAGATGTGAGTTATGCAACGATCTACTGCGGTTACTACTCCTATATGGTAATCATTCATGAAATTTTGAAAACTTGTGGTTATCCCGGTGAGCATGGAGCCATGGTTGCTTATTTCAGAGATCAAATTTGCAAGTCAGTCGAATACAACAGTGTGGGAGTAATGGGTCCATACCGAATGGGGTTTCCTCTCCGCGTGGCATTCGAAATTGCAGATCCGGTGACAAGATCTTGGATCTTGAACCGCCTTGAACAATTTTCAAATATCTACGCAGCCGCTCAACCCGAGAACTATCACACTGTCTTGTGATCCAAAGAAAAGTGCATTAAATTATTTACAAGTGCCCACTCTCCAAGCAGGACCTCACTGCACCTTCTCCCCGCCGGTCTCAGAAAGTCCAAAGTGAACCAGCTCAATTCCGTGTCGACTCCAAGTCATCGTATACGATACGCTTAGAAATGGTCGACGGCCAAACCGGTTCAGCCACAGCGCGTGCCGCCAAAAGCAAGATGACAATGATGATCTCCATCAGAAGCCCCATTCCAATCAAGATGCCGATACCACCAGTGGCTGGGTTGAACTTGGGCGGTCCATACTCCAACAATAGGAAATAAATGATCCGAACCAACAAAAAGGGTAGAGTCAAAACTGTCAAAAGTACGGCACGGTGTCCCGACTTGGGAAGAATCGACCGCGATTTTACCGCAAGCCGACCAACAAGACCACATACATAAGCGAAGGTGACAACAAGAACAATGGACCCAGCTTCTCCCATTGTGCGCATGTTGATACATCCACCTACCACTGCTAGTATGATGGCGATGAAAATCGGGAAACGGAAGAAATGCAAAGCAAACCGGGTCAGCTTGGTCCATTTCGAATTTCCAGGGCCAGTTTCTCCAGATTGTCCACTATTTGGAGAAATACCGTTAGCATCTCTCTTGTTTTTGGGAACAAAAAAAAAAAGCCAAAATCCAAGAGCATAGGAAATCTTCAAAATACCATCGCAATAAGAGGGGCGAAAGGCCCACGCTTTGCAAAATGGATTCAGCAATGAGTATTGGCTTCTCCGGGTGTGAGCTGGCAAGCACCAAGGCCGAACCTGCGATGCGAACTATGAAGGATTTCAATGACATATCTTTTAACTTGTCGGAGTATCTTCCACTTACTCTGTGAGAGAAGACCAATCATACTCCACCAAGAATAGAACACACATCGTCCGATGCTCTTGTTCTTGTTGTGGTGCCAGTGCCGCCATTCTTGCATGCATCTTGTGCTAAACTGCGCAGTATGGATGAGGGAGTATATGACAATCTCTGCGATGGCAATATTCCGCTTCCCCGTTGTGATTGGCGAATCCGATGAACGGGGCAGAGGGTTCAGTGCCATAGTGAGCCCTGGATTTGAAAGAGTCGACAGTAAGTTTCAGGTGATAGTGAAGTACGGAATTAAATGCAGTTATGAAGAATGGAGTGTGATTTGGACAGATTTAAATATCTACTCTGAGGATTGGGTTCAACTTTCAATCTCTGCCAAAGACTTTGTATACTCGATGCCGGTGGATCTACATCGCGGTAAGTGACCCATTTGGGTTTAGCGTTTATAGCATTTCGCATGGATGGCTCCTCACCACACTTGAATGGCTGCAAAGATTGAGCGACACGATGAAAATTGACATTTTAAAGTTCGGCGAAGCCATGAAAGTACCTTTAAAGGTGTTATCCATATTCAACTTCGCGAAAAGTGACCCGTTTGGGTAATCCGAGCACGCATCCATACCCATGCGCAGCCTGGAATGTTTTTCCATCTGACTGTATCATTTCTTCTCGAAACTAGTATTTAATCAGACACACATTGATTTTCGATCCTGTTTCATCATCTGTATTCCGTAGAACAAGAGGTAGAAATACAACAACGTACTTCGTATAGGGTCGCCGCTTCTCCGGACCCCGGGATTAATATATCGGATCAATATTAATCCGATACCGTACACAAATTGCAAAGCTCCGATGACGGCGATTGTCGATTTCAAGAAAGCAACTCTTCAAAAAAGTCTATCAAAATGGCTGCTGCTCGGACACTTCGCATTGGTACAATTGCCCTTGTTTTGCGATCTTGTGGCTCAGCAATTGACTGACCTGACCGAATCTTATAGGTCTTATCCCCGGAGACGGTATCGGACGGGAAGTCATCCCGGTGGGTAGCTCTCTCAAGATTTAATATGCCAGCCAATTCACTGACTGAATGTTGTTTGATGAAATATAGGCTGGCCGTCGGATTCTTGAGTCCCTCCCCTCATCCCTGAACCTCAAGTTCAGCTTCGTCGATCTTGATGCCGGCTACGAGACCTTCCAGAAGACTGGAACCGCTCTGCCCGACAAGACCGTTGATACCCTGAAGAAGGAGTGTGATGGTGCTCTCTTTGGCGCTGTCAGGTAAGCCACAATGTCCTTGTTTCAGCATGTGCAATCCCGGCTGACAATTGCTCCCAACCCAAAGCTCCCCTAGCACCAAGGTCGCCGGTTACTCATCGCCCATTGTCGCTCTCCGCAAGAAGCTCGACCTGTACGCCAACGTCCGCCCTGTCAAGACCACCGCCGGCAACACCAATGGCAAGCCCATTGACCTGGTCATCGTCCGCGAGAACACCGAGGATCTGTACGTAAAGGAAGAGCGCACCATTGAGGGCCCCAACGGCAAGGTTGCCGAGGCCATCAAGCGTATCTCCGAGCACGCCTCGTTCCGCATCTCCAACATCGCCGGTGAGATTGCGCTCCGTCGCCAGAATATCCGCTCCGCTTCCCCCGCCACCTCTACCCGTGACCAGCCCATGGTTACCATCACCCACAAGTCGAACGTGCTCTCCCAGACTGACGGTCTCTTCCGTGAAACCGCTCGCCGCGCTCTTGCCGCAGAGAAGTTCTCCTCCGTCTTCGTTGAGGAGCAGATCGTCGACTCCATGGTCTACAAGCTCTTCCGCCAGCCCGAGTTCTACGATGTCATTGTCGCCCCTAACCTCTACGGTGACATCCTCTCTGACGGTGCTGCTGCCCTCGTTGGCAGCTTGGGTCTTGTCCCTAGTGCCAATGTCGGTGATGGCTTCGCTATCGGTGAGCCCTGCCACGGCAGTGCCCCTGACATTGAGGGCCAGGGTATCTCCAACCCCATTGCTACTATCCGCAGTGTTGCTCTGATGCTCGAGTTCCTGGGTGAGGAGAAGGCCGCTGCCCAGATCTACGCTGCTGTCGACGGTAACCTGGATGCTGCTCAGTTCCTTACCCCCGATATGGGCGGAAAGGCTACCACTCAGCAGGTGTTGGACGATGTCCTGAAGAGACTGTAAAAGTAAACTTGTATATAAGCCAAAGTTTGCGATGGTATTTAAGAGATGAATCTATTGTTTTCCCTTGCATGCATTGACAACCATTTAACTGTATGAAACCCATATCCATTTCAACAGCATACTCTGCTCAATCGAGAAATGTATCACTCAACATCACCAGACGATGGCTCTGGCTCCCAATCAAACTTCCCTAGACTTTCGTCACGTTGCTCACTCTTACTGTGGTCTTTCTCACCCTCCGTTTCCAATAGGACCACCGAGAAAACCACAGCAAGATACACCCGTCCGTTTGAAACGTCCTTGAGCGTATACCGCAACTCGTGGTTGTTCTCATCCACGTACTTCATGATATGTAGGTTGAACCCAGGAAGACGAACAGAGAAATCTATTACGATGAGCCAACGATCCCAGTCAAAAGAAGAAAATCCACATTTCACTCACCGTTGAATGCCAAATAAGGGTTTCCAAAATCAGCAACATACATCCTCCCAGGTTCGAAGTCAAACACCTTTCTATTCGCCTCATCCTGGAAATGCTTTCTGCGCCCCTCGACTGTTTCGGGGATATTAAATTGCTGACGCACATTGGCGGAATCTTCACTATAAGAACCTTCTTCAATAATCTCATCATGGAGCGTTGGCACCTCATCAGATTTCTTCATCTTATCTCCAATCCGGAACTGGTCCCACGATGCCAATGCCGGGCTGTATAGGTACGGGTGGTCAGCATAGACATCGCCATCTAGGCCGGGATCGAGTGTCCACTTGACCATCCGTAGCGCTGCATTGAACCCTGGGGGCAGCATGTCGCGGATTGGGTGATCGAAGTCATTGCCAAAGACGAGGTTGTTGCCATTCACCGGCTCCTTGAAGATTATTGAGAAGCATACAGAATATAGGTCTTTTTCGTGTAAGGGATGGTCGAAATATGGGCTTGTAGATGGTGAATTTTCTGGATAGCCTATTTGATTGATGAGCTCCGCTCTTCGACCAAATAGGTGAGAGAGGGATATTACCTGTGTAGTCTTTGATCCGTACGCAGAGACTCACAATAGCGTGCTCGTTTTCGATTCGTATTGTCTCGCCATTTACAGGTACGACTTGATGAGTCTTCAGATTGTAGTCTGCGCCTGCGGTTACCTTCAGGCGGTGCTTGTATGCGTTGGTGTCCTGGCTAACCATTCTTGAGGTGGGTAGTAGAGTGAGTTGATGAGCTTTGGTGCGAAATAATGATGTTGTGTGTTTAACAAGCTGTTGCTAGAAGTTTATTTGCAGCGTGGCTAACGAGTCTTATTTTATAGGTTTGACGCCCGACAACGTCATCGTTCTTTTGAGGATAATCAAGTAATGATAAGCAGTGACAATTTGATGTGGGATTCTCAACACAACAATGCTCAAATAACAATAAATAACCAACAACCTCTTTGGTTTTGAAGACCTCTGGATAATACATGATAGAATTATGAGTGTTGTGATCTACCCATCGTTCCAAGGTTTTCAAGTGCGTTGATCTAGGTAAGATAGCATGCGTCTTCCACGAATGAGCAGAACTGTTTAAAACAGAAACGGCCAACACAGCGCTGTGCACATAGCGATGGTGTTATCGTCACAGGGGTTTCTATTTGTTGATCTATCCAAGTACTTTGTACTTTTGTAGATTTAAACACTCAGCCCTGTTCAGCCCCCAAAGTCCAAGGTGGGAGGGAATGACATCACATCCCCCGGAAAGGCCCCAAGCTCGAATTTGATTGGCTGGAGCGGTACGTGGCACCCAAAGAGGTTAGTGCAATGAACCCTAAATGAGTGGAGATGCCAAGGCTCTGCGCCTCCGGGCACCTGGTGAGATGAGCTATATAAGGAGTCGAAATTTCCCTTCTAATGGATTAATTCATTCCAGGGCAGAGAAAGGATCAATACAAGACTCTACTATCAAATCCTGCTAAACAATCACAATGGCTTCAACCGTTATCCCTCAACCCATCCAACCCTCTTCTACTTCCAAGAATCCATTCTTGACAGCCGACTCAAACAATATGGCTTCATCCGATATTCCCCAATACACCCAACCTGCCTCCGAAAGCACTGCTTTTACAGTCGATTTTACATGGAAGAAGTGGAAGGCCATCGTGTCCGATGTCAATAATCCTTCAGACGCCCTGTACACCATCCATTATTCCCCATTCAGCCTCGCAGCCAACATGGTTTTCAAAAAAGCCCCCGACGAAGAAGTCATCGGAATTGGCAAGCTCAATGCGGTATCCATCAATGCCGACTACGAACTACGTGGACAGAAGGCCCACCTTCTAGCCCAGAAACGCTGGAGGACGGTCTACACCCACCGCTCACTCAACTTCTCTGACACCGAATCCCCAGTCACAATGACATGGACCAGCGATTGCGGGTTCAAGACCTGGGACTTTGTCTGTGTCGATGACCAGCAAATGCCTGTGGCAAAATTCTCTGCCAATGCCTGGGGTGTCACCAAAATTGGCAAGATCGAGTTCATGGGCCCCAAAGCAGATGACCGAGCTGCACAGGAGGAGATTATGGTTACGGGAATTACCTTGTTCTATTGCATGATGCTTCGCTGTAACAACATTTTTAACCTCTTCGGGGCTATCTTTGCTCGACCGGGACACAAACAGCATATTGAGCCTCAGCCCAAAGGAGTGACCAGCGAGTAGGCTTCGCAATTGGCTTGGTTTGTCTAGGTTTTTTGGGGGTTTAATTTTTGTTTTGCGCACAGAGAGAGATACCATTCGATTTACAATGTTTATGAAATAGTCATTACTCCATAATACATGCTTGAACTATACAAATGTTGCTTTCCAGTGCGCTCCAATCCATCTAGATATTGCTCAAACAGATTACGCTGCTTGACATCATGGAAAGGAAACAGCCCGACGAAGCGAACGGGCAACCCAATAACCTATCGCCTCACGAACAATATTGTTACTCGCCCAGTTCCGACTCGGATACACACGATGGGCCAACATGACCATAAAAGTATCCGACGCCCGATCAACAACAAGCGTGGTACCAGTGAAGCCCGTGTGCCCTCCAGCCAAAATATTAGCCATGGGTCCCGAGAAATAACTCTGATTGAGCTCGAACCCGATACTGTGCTCATTACCAGGGAATGCGGCATTGAAATTCGTGAACATCAAGTCCACAGTCTCCGGCTTTAATATCCGCTTGCCGCCATATGTGCCGTTATTCAAGATCATTTGACAGAAGATTGCCACATCCCTGGCCGTCGAGAAGAGGCCGGCGTGTCCGCTCACACCACCAAGGGCCCAGGCATTTTCGTCGTGCACGGTTCCTCGTACTGGCTGGGGACGTTTGGGCTCGGCGTCTCCCAGAACTTCGATCTGATACTCCGTCGGCGCCATGCGCGTGTAATGATGGAATGAAGTGGACTGGTTGTTTCCCTTGTTGAAAAAGGTGCTTGTCATGCCGAGTTCGCGGGTAAATGAATAGACATACTCCTCAAATGGTGTCTTGGTGACCTTCTCCAGCAAGAAGCGCAGGTTCATAAAGTTCAGGTCTGAGTAGGTGTACGTAGACCCAGGAGCATTTTCGAGCTCATGCTCGATGATAGCACGGACGCGCTGCTGCATGGTCTTGTAAGGTGCTTCATACAGCCCGGGCAGAGGGTCTGGAGGAAAGCCACTTGTATGGGTCAACAGCATCAAGACAGTGATGTTGCTCTTCCCATTGACCGCGAACTCGGGAAGGTAGGACGCAACGGTATTGTACAAGCTTAGCTTACTCTCGTCAATGGCGCGCAATGCGGCTACCGCAGTGAACACTTTGGTTAGGCTGGCCATATCGTAGATTGTGTCCATTTTGGCAGGGGTCCGTTCCGTGGAAGAGAGCAACGTGCCATTGGAGTCTGCATACAGACTCATGTGCCCAAAGGCAAAGGCGCTCACAACGGTGGATTTATGGCCGATGACAACGGAGCCTCCCGGTTGGATGGGGTGAATTGCATTGTGCGTAGGTGTTCCATAATTGGCAGGAATACTGTACTGGCTCAAGTTCAGCGGTAGTTGTTGAAGAGGCTCGGCGAGAAGCCCCACTGATTCAGGAGAACCATGCTTGAGGATGCGGTCTGTGGCACTGCAAAGCGAGCCGCAGCTTGCAATGAGGCAAATGACTGAAAATCTGAGTCTCATCGTGGAGCGAGCATGGTATGGGGAGACATGGGAGTTTTCTATGGCTTCCAGCCTGCAAATATATACGAGCTTGCTTGTTGTTATCTAGAGATTCTCTATAAATTAAATGCAACCCAGCATAGTAACCGTTTCATTTCATTATTTCTGGATAAGATCAGCCCTAGAGACGGGGTAACGCTCCACATAAATTCGCTTAACAATCGTATCTTCGGGTTATTCCGACATGGGTATCGCAAAAGCGATAGGTTTGGTGTTCAAGAACATATTACATATGTACGCAATAAAATGTGGAGATGAGAATTAACATAAAAATGCAAAAGTAAACAAATAAAAAGATCGAGGTTGTATACAAAAGCTAAGCCAAATCTGACGCGGGAACGATATCCGAAATGTCATTAAGTCCCTCGGCCGATATCTCGATGTTATCCAGACGCCTCCGGTCCTTGCCACGGCCGAATTCGACATCAACAAATCGGGCGCTAACGGGAGTAATTGGCTCACTCCCAGTACCTATTGTAGTACCATCTGACATGAGATCATCCGACTTCAATTCCCAATTGGCCGCACGAACTTTGGCTCTGCGATGTTCCGAGTTGATAGTTTCCTTCATGTGGGTGAACGACCGCACCTGGTCTGCAGCCCACTTGTCCAGCAGCTCATTTCGAGCTTCGATTTCGAGCTGAAGCTGTTCTTCAAGGCCGGTGTTGACATTTTGAAGACGCTGCATTTCACATTTGGCTCCATGCAATGATGTGCTGAGGTCTGATATGCGAACATTGAGAGTCCCTGTCTCTGCTTCGTGCGTTTGAAGTTCACTGACATTTTGTTCAAGCGTCTTGACGGCTCTTTGATATTCTTTTTCCAAAATCTCCACCTGAGCCGTCAAGTCGCAAGCCCGAATGCGATTGTGTTCGACGGTTTTCTCCAATTCACGGATGCGAGACTCTGACTCGGAAGCAGTAGCCTCGGCTGAACAGCGTTTTGAGCGTTCGTGGGCAACTTGTTTCTTGAGTTTAGATATCTGCCGGGTATAGTCCTCTTTTGTAGCCGTGTTCTCCTTTTCAAGATTGTCGATAAGACTTTCGAGACCCTTCACTTCGTAATGATACTTGTCGAGTGCTGTGCTTAATCTGTCAATCCCAACGGCCTGTTCTTGGCCTTCGCGCTCGAGGTCTTGCATTCGCATCCGTGTGTGGAGCATATCGCTCGCGGAAGATGCGATCGAACCCTCGAGACTATCAATTTTGCTTGCAGCTATCTCGTATCGGTGTAGTAAAGCATCGAATTGCCCTCGAAGAGCCTTTTCCCGGCCGAGAGAGCCGTGATGATAGTGGCGCTCCGTCCCCAGGTCTTTTGCCAGTGACTCAACGCGTCTCACCAGCACACTTAGGGTCGCCTTGCCGTCCTCAAGACTGACATTGGCAGTTTCACCAGGGAGCGCACGCTCAAGCTCAAGACGAGCTGAGCGGAAGTGGCTTCGCATGTCGGATATGACGTTGTCTACACCGTCCCCAGAGAATCCTAAGCTGGAGCATTGTTGGATGATTCCTTCAAGAGCCTGGGCAGCATCTGAAGCACGGGATAGAGCATTTTCCAAGATCTCCATAATATTCTCAAAGAAGTCTGATGGTGGAGAAGACTGACGAAAAAGGCTACTGATCGTAGGGTCATTGAACCCTGAGATTCGTGATCGACATGCGTTGAACAAGTTCTTCTTCTCTTGCCTGGCAGCTTCTAGGTCAAGAGTCAAAGAGTGAATATCGGATTCTTCTGTATTGGCTGGAGTTTGCGTTTGGTTGGCGCGAATTGGCGTTTGGGGTTCGTCGGATGGCATCAAGCTATCAGTGACGGGTGTATTATAATTCCGAGTACTACGGAAATCAGGGGAACTTGACACAATGACAGCACTGTCACTGAACATAAACGTCTCTCCGTCACCGTTCGAAAATGGAGTAGTATCATCCAGACCGCGATTAGAAACCACTGATACTTCTTCACAAGATCTCTGTGTGTCTGGTGTCATCCAATATGACTCAGCCACCGAACCTTGGTCCTCAAAGCCCATTCCATCTCGTCTTATAGCCCTGAGTTCATCTTTCAGGGAGTCCCGCTCTTGAAGCAGAGCTCGCATGGTCTTTTCCATGTTGCGCGTCTCCCGCTTTTCACGCTCAATGTGATTGATTTCATCACTCAGCCCGATTCGCCTAATTCTTCTCTGGGTCCTTGTATCTAGGATCTGACGCAGCGGAGTAAATTGGATCCTTCGCTCGTTGCATGTTTCATCAAACGGTTCCTCCGGGTCATACGACTGCTGGAAGCGTGGTGTTGGGGCAGACCTGCGTCGGGATTTGCGGCTAGGTGTGCGATTCCCAGATCCTGTTTCGAAAGATGTTCGACGCATTGCCGGCGTCAAGCCGGTTGACCCGACATCTTCATCATGCAATAACCGAGGACCTGGGTCGGAGAACCGAACCCTTTTCCTTGATTTCTTGGGTGTAACAGATGCCGTTTTTTGTTGTTGATTGAGGCTGGCATCTTCTGGTACCGCTGCCAAGCTCTGTCTAGTCCGGCGTGAGACTGGTGACTGGCTTCTTGAATTTGAGAGAGAGCTCTTCCGTTTCCTTCCCGAGCGAGTGATGTCCATGTTGGAAAAGGGGGGGGGGGGGGTATATTGGAATAATTAAAGCCAGAACAAAGAAGTGTTTAACAAAATAAAAGTGTACAGGGATAGGCTTATAAAGAGAATTCTATAGATCACAATTTAAGAAGTAAACAAACAAAGTGGGGCTCTATAGGCAACAGGCGCCTAGACGCGTGCCTAAATTCATATTTCCTATTCCGGAAATAGTAAACAAGATGCTTCTTTAGGTGATCAGGTGATAGCAGATCAGAACGTAACCTTGGAAGGCTACACGTGATATTTGTATTTAAGATACGTGATAATTATCCAAAATAAAATCTGTTCAATCTAATGATCCCTTCATTGGCTGATACTAAGAAAATCAACGGACTGCTATAATAGCGTGCTCTACACAAAAGTGCATATTATTGTTAGTAAGCCGTGACCGTATAGATTGTAGAAATAGCGGATTTTGTCATTTTAATTAGTTAGAGAAATACACATGTCATCCATACCATACATTGCTGTACACCTTGATTTCTGTCAATTGATTCAATGTCTGCTCACACATACGGAGGACTGCCCGCCTGCACATTTCTCAACCTTCTCCAGCGCGTCTGAAATCTTCCTCAATATTATATCCAAGTCTTCCATTCCCACGCTGATCCTGATTGAGTGGCTTGGAATGCCATGAGCATCCAGCGCAGTTTGCTCTGCGGGTGTCAAAAGTTGTGAAAATGGAATTGATAGAGTGAAAGCAGTTCCAAAACTAGGACCTTTGCAAACATCTAGTGCATTATAAAAACGAACAGCATTAGCTGGTTCTTTGAAAATGACACACATGAGATGGCCATAACCCCCTCCACGTCGACGATAGCGTTCATATATGTCTGGTGTGGTAACTGACGGATAGTTGATTCGCTCTACTAGAGAATGAGCTGCAAATCGCTCCACAAGGGCCTTAGCGTTATGGTTTGTGACTTTTACACGCTCAGAGAAATGACGAGAGTTTCGACGTAGGACTGCAATGTTGAGAGGGAAAAGCTTTTCTTCATAGGAAATGGTAAGCTGGTCGCGAAGTTGAACGTAGCGAGATGACCCAGGATGAACAACCACACTGGTTTTAGTTAGTTACAATTCATGAAAGGTAAGCCATATACTGTGAGTCATACCTGCCTGCCAGTACATCAGAAAACCCACTGTAAATTTTCGTCAGGCTGGTCATGAGAATATCAACGTAGGGTAGAAGGTCAGTGTTGATGAATGTGCCAACAGTCTCATCACAAATGATTAGAAAGTCGTATTCATCGGCAAGCCGTCTAAGACGATGCATATCAGGCGTGACTAGGGTCGGATTGCCAGGAAGATCGGTCCACAAGGCATTAACACATGTCCCGGATTTGAGCGATGCTTCGAGTTCGTCAAGCTCCTCCGAAGTGGCATGAGAATATAATTTGAAATCTGACCAGTGACGCTTGAGAACTGTAGCGGTCTCCCCATAAAGGTAACTGTAATAGTTGTTAGATTGTCAAATACCAGCCCGAATCATGTTGGACGACATACCCAAAACCAACAATACCCGAATCGATTCCAAGGCCAACTAGTGCCCGTGCCACAGAATTGATGGCGGCCATCCCTCCTGGATGTAGAAAGATATCCCCCAAAGAAACATGGTGCTGGCCAGGTTTCTCGGATTGAACCAATCTAGCTATATTTGATTTAATAAAATCTCTCTCGATGACTCCCGAAGTGCTTAGCCCCATGGCGTGTTCATTAAGCATTGTAATGGGATTGGTTGGCAATGTGCAGAATGCTTGGTTGGTTGACTTAGATTGAAGATAATCGAACCGTCGTAAGCAGAAGTTTGTGTGACGAGTCGAGATACCATCGCCACTATCACGCCAATAGCTAAATACCACGTCAAAAAGGTCGGCTGGATAAATTATTGCATAGAACTGTGCCCATTGGGTTTCAGTTGATGCCTCGCCGGCTTGAAAAAAATGAACAATCGAGAACTCTGTGCAGGAAGATATCACTTTGTTCAAATCGGCCGCACACCGAGTTGCGCTTTGTGCAGAGACGAATACCGCACTTGTCATGCCATCGCTTTCCGAGATGTTCAATCGGGTAAGAACAGTGCGGTTCAGTTGCTTGACATTTTCGTTTAGGCAGAATCTAAGACTCATTAAATCGTTGACTCAACCTTGGAAAGAAAAGCTGCTCTTGAATGTTACCGTGGGTATCCGGATTTCACTTTAAGCAACACCCAGTCTTCTCCCCTTCCAAAACCGCCTACAGATTCCCAGGTTGGTAAGGAAGGAATAATTGACTGTTGCTTTGACGTGAGCAAATGTTCATATTAGAACGTATGAATCAACATCTTACATGGCGCTTATTTGGTGGTATGCGCTCACCAAACGGTTGACTACGCAAGATGAGAGGGGCCATAACGTAGAAGGGAATAGATGGAGTGCAGGATTTATCCTCGGCTTACCTGGATCGATAAATTTGTCAATAGTCACGTGGCAGACGAAGGTTACAGTGAAATGATCTCCGTACTTTGGACGAAGTACAGGAAAAGCAATGCCCAAGTGGGGTGTTTGGCTGAGCTGAGACTTACTTGCATAGCGGTGGGGCAGTAGGGGAAATGGGCTAATCAAGTTGTAGAGAGATTCAGCTAAAGGAATCTTAGAAGATCCCGAGATCCACTTCAGGCTTCTTCGTCCACTTCTGCCAGCAGTGGGACCTGTAGCTTACAAGATTAGGTGCCCATACAGGTAATTATCTTGTCAATGGCTATTCAAAATGAGATAGAAACCGGGAGGGAAAAAGGTCGGAGTCAACTTCAATGGGACTTTTGTTGAGCAGAATGATATCATGCCACTCATGATGTTTCTGCGGACTTTTAGTGGCCAGCGAAATTTATTCATTCTCTGCTTGCTGCTTCGAGAGCAAGCCAAGGGTTTTTTCCTCTCTGTCGGTCGCCATAGATCTGCCTTGTAGAGGTTCACCTATTAGAAAATTACATACACGTTGCTTTGTATAAGGATTGAATATTATTCATTATAAGGCATTCATTGTCAGACTACAGAAACAGGCTTATGAAGAGGCCTCCGATCTTTAATATAAAAGTCCTCTGCATAGTTCATGCTTTTTACCGCCTTTGCATCTAGAAAGACTACCAAAAAGACGTGACAAGGCCGCGTAAGCGGCCACCTATTCTTATAGATTATAAGTTGAGAACTAAACAAACAAAGTGAGGCTCTTTAGGCAATAAGCGCATAAATGCGTGCCTAGATTCATATTGCCTATTTTGGCAATGGTAAACAAGATGCTTCTTTGGGTGATCATGTGACTTACTCTATGTTTATACTTATCGAGGTATATCGGAAATAGTATGTGTTCAAACTTAATGATCACTTCATAGGCTGATACTTGGCTGTCTGGGGGAGATTGGGAACTGTAACTTATATTGTCAGGGTACATGTATATATCAGAGCTACCCCACATTGCCACAACAGATACCTTATCAGCTCCAAATAGACAACTTCCAATCGAAACTCTGCAATATTCCAATATTCCAATGTTATCATTATTGGCAATATTAGCCGGATTAGACCTCTTCCCTACTTGATCTGATTTACCTCCTTACCTTCGTGTGACTCTAGACCTACATACATGTAGGTACGTTCCCCCTCTCCCCTGGTCTCCTAGTGATGTCATTTTCGATACTCGCTCAACCCTATCACATATCTCTTACAACTCTCAGTGCATTGAATAAAAAAAAATGACTACCACCCGTGTAGGTCTAATTGTTGCCAATAAAATTACTGTGGCTCCATACTCACATTTTGATGTCGCAGGAACAAAGCAACCATGGCTCCAACGACCAGCTTTCTCCACCCGCAAATCAATTGTCATTACTTGGGAAATTACCGACCGAGATCATTCAACACATTGCGTCTTATCTCTCAGCTTCAGATCTCGTCTGCCTCGGTGCTACTTGCCAGGCCCTCGCCGATCATGCATCGGATGACTTGCTATGGGCTAACCTGGTGAACGAGAGACTACCTACGCCTATCCGGACCCCAGGTCCCTTTGGGTCATTTCGTCGTCTCTATCTTGCATATCACCCTTATTGGTTCATTCCTCAACACAAGATCTGGTTCGCAGACAATGAAAACACGGGGATGCTGATCATAGCTCGATATGATGACCGTCGTGGTGTGATTGAAGCATACACGGTCGTTGCTGAACGTGGCACCCCTCAGTTTCAAATGTGGACATCACACCCAGAAGTTATTATACAGACTTTTGAACCCAATGTACATCTGGCACTGGATGGTCCTATCTTGTTTCTCCACGACCCTGATCCGTCCTCCCGAACAGCCCCAATCCAAAGCTTTTATCCAACAGAGGAACGACACATGTCCATGGCTTCGGATGCGCAGAATATCTACAACTCGCTGTCGGTATGCGCTGAATTTAGTCTCCGAGTACCTTGGGTCGATCCTTCTTTGCTTTGGCCACCACCAACCATCCCGGCTAATGCGCACACAGTTCGTGCTTTGAGGATTCCACCCCCAGAAATACTGAACCATTTGTCGGAATCGTCAGAGTCGATTTTTCGTCTCAGGCGGTGGGCAACCCCAGAGCTTATGTTGCCGCAAGTGTGTGTGACTTTTTCAACTCTCGATCCTGTCCTTTACACTCCCACTACAGAGAAACCCTACCAGGGAATCTGGGTCGGAGACTACTCAACCCATGGGTGTGAATTCCTCCTTGTTCTCCAGAAAGAGATGACAGCCACAACACACGGTGATGAGAACGAGTCGCAGACAATAGACGCTCAAGACGAGGTCGAACACGACAACCAAGGGGATATTGGACAGCAAGGTCCGTTACAGGCTGTCAAGCTGACAGGTGACCATAATGTTCCTCGTGGCCAGTTGTCATTTGTTGCCCAAGATATTGGCCCCAAAGGCTTGATTGGCGTCGGGATGGAAGAGCCTTTTATCGGTGCTCGAATTGTGCGTTGCCGCGGTCATGTGGCTGGACTTGGGTTCCGTGACGGTAAGTGGCCTTCTAAATAAATTGAAGCGATCTCTTCTGACATGTGATTTGCTAGACGCCTACATTGACTCCCAACTGATCCTTATTTCTCCTGACCACATGGCTCATTACTGGAAGGAAATGGGTCATGTCTCCTATTACCGCCGTGTGAACATTGATGCTCTACTACATAGTTGATAGTTTACTGGCATGGTTTTGTGGTTTTGCGATTCTTCTTTAAACAGATTTGTTACATACCCCCTTATCTTCATGTTGTCATTGATTGTTGTGCACTGAGTTCTGATATTTTGGGTTAACTCCCAGCAAGCTCTTTGTTCCCCAGATTGTTTTGCCGTATTGCACTATTTCGAGTCGAAAGATTCCTATGGTGTATATTTGTTACATATCTACTTCATGGACCTCCTGAGAAATTTGTGGATTGTTCAGCAATTATGCCTGAGGTGCTGAGGAACCAAGGTACTATGTACGTACAATGTACGTACAATGTGATATTCTAGACAGACTAGAGATCAACCTTTTATCTAAAAGGTAGGTCCAACCTTTACAAAATGATGGATTCGCCGCTTGATTCTCGCATTGTACAAGTCTACCTCTCCAGCACTTGAGTTTTGTGAGAACCAGCACAGACGGATTTACATCGGAAATTATCGAATAAGGTCAGTGGAGTCCCAATATTAGCTGAGAAAGAACTTACTTGATGTGTTCAGCCGGTACCCTGAACTATCCTCCGGATTCACGTTGTAGACTTCCGTTGTTTCGGGATCTGGGATGTGCCATGAGCTACTGCATGGCCCCATGACATCGACGTAAACCCTGGTTTCTTTAGTAGAAGTTCGCGGCAGTCTTTTTCGGTGATGACATCAATATCCTGTAGACTTGTCGTGTTAGGGAAAATGTGTACTTCGGTGACCCTATTGCGCCTAATAAGCCCTGTGGCAAAGCGGCCAAGAAACAGGCGATGAATCTTCTCAGATCCTAAAGCCCCTGAGAGGCTTGTCGCCGCATCTAGTTAATTGAATTCACTTGAGTTGAGCGGCATGGTGATGGTTGTTCGGAAAGAAGAAAGAGGAGATAATGGTCTAGATCGCTAAGAAATAATGAGGAGATACTAGTGCAAATAGCAGTCATTCAGGAAGGAAGATACATTGGAAGAAGAAGAAGAAAAGGAGTGATGTGATATTTAAAGGAATAATGAAGGCACGCAAATCAAAAAGATCGTATTTGGGTTCAGAAATGAAGGGAATCGCAATGGAATTAGACAACCATTACCTTACACATCATTCACTGCATCACTCCAGGTCTTATTCCTGCCACTTTATCTTGTCCCTTTCCACTACGCTCCAGCCTTGTGATAAAAAGCAGCGCCGTCCCTGATTCTATCGAGTGCCATTTCTTTGCAATTACTGATCATCAATCATGGAGACTGAGACTAGAGGGCTTGCAGTTTCCCCTCCGGTCTCGCCTGCCATCGAGGCAATGCCAACTTCTCGCAAGGAGTCTGAAGGATTCGACATCCTACTTCCTGCCTCGTCTGTCATCGATTCGACGCCAACTTCTCCCAGTGAGACCGAAGGACCATCAACCCCTCCTCCTGCATTGCCTGTCATCGAGCCTATATCATCTTCTCAACTCACCCTAGGCATCTTGGAAGAATCAGGTCATCAGATAGAGAAACCAGACGCACAGCCTCTTTGTGAGCCATACCGCCAGCAGTTCCACCATCCCGTGATGAGAGAAGCTTTGAAAGCGCTTATCGACAACACTATCTCGGTTGTGGAGTACGGGAACCAGGTCCTTTACAGATACGGATATGCAGAGGTACTGATTGTAAGTGGCGAAATCTTCCTCTTTATTGCTTTGGTTGAATCATTTCATTAACATTTCACCAGCTTGTGGAGTGGGTTGTGCCCGATGAACAATTGCTGTTTGCCTCACAGGTGCTGCTCGAGAACAACTACCCTCGCCTTCTTATCCCAGAGCAAAAGTGGCCTGGATACTCTGCATACTCTGGATCCTGGGAAACCCGATCCTTGATGCACGACCTTGATGGCCAGGGTTGGATACGTGCCCATCTTCTCCCTCTATCATTGGTTGGTTTCACCCTTGATGAAACTGTTGAGGTCCCCTCGATATTTGCCCATGAGCTCCACCTTTTCACTCCTAAACCTTCTCACTACATGGCATCCTTGATACGTCATCTTCTGCAACTCTCCATTGGCGACGGTAGCCGAACTCGCGTTGAAAAGGACCTTAGAGGTTTTATTTCTGCCTATATTCTCAAGGACGGACCGGCTAATACGACCATATGCACTTATCTCAATCACCCGAAAAGCGACGAGGGCTACCAGAAAAGAGTTGAAGAAGGAGTCCGGTTTATGAAGACATGGGACTGGGGAAAGATTGAGAGAAAATACCTGGCCATAACTGAAGGTGCGGTCCGAGATTGCCGCTACATCGACACGCTGACGGACGTTCATGAAGAGCAAGACACACCCTGAGTGGATCTTACGAGGTTGTCGAAGCCTTCGTTGCTGAGTGGGAAGAGAGTCCATTGACTGCGTCTCTTTTTCGTCTGCACTCTCGTTTTCATCCTTCCGAAGACTCATGCGTTCTCTTCACCATAGCTTAAGATAGTCATGCATACCATTTCTAGACTTTCTTGTTTTGTCCTATACTTCTTACCCTTCTATAAACTTATTCTACAACAACAGGGAAAGTGTCAAGATGTAATACCAGACAATGTCCAAAAGGTCTACGGGTATTTTCGAGGGTCATGCTGATATGTTTGGCAAGCTATATAGTTTACAACGATGTAGTTCACAGCGAAAGTCTCGACTGAAGCTCACTAGTTGGGGAACTTTCCGACAGAGATTTAAGGAATCAACAAACCCTAGTTTAAGGGATTCAATGCCGATCCAAGCCTAGGTATGCACCGAAAGAATGATCTCGGGTTACCCAGATTGCACTCGGCTGGTAACAGAAATCTTGGTGTGGTTGTGACTTGTGTTCATATTTACAACTAGGGTATTCCAAGGATTGTCCGCTAAACTCGTGGCTGGATTCGGTATGATGATATAGACAGGCAGAAAGGTAAAAGGTATCGAAAAAGCCAAGACGCCATGACCATAAAAGCATCGGTCGAAAGTGGAGGCTGGAGCGTAGATAAGGATTGGTCATCATTCGTCAATCCAGCCTTGAAGCATATACTTGTGGCGGCTGGGCGGTTTAAAAAGAAACACCGTCCACAACACAGACTCAATCTGTACGTACTGATATCGTATCATATTGCCATAGGGCCAAGTGTCGAGCCCAGGGCCCAGATTCATGCCGCCAGTCCAGTCCCGCGGCCATTTATGCGGCCCCGTAAGCCTCCATGCGCATCACTTCGGAATCCGCTATCATACACATATCAAATGGCCGAAAGTCAAATCATGACAAAGGGATCGCCGATCGTCTTCCCATGTTGAGTATGGCGGCGCCAATCACCGGCGTCGTTCGAACCAGGCAGACGAGCCCATGACAGCCACGGACTGGTCCATCATCCACTCGCCAACACCAAGGTAGCTGTCAACCCATTTCTTGACGTCTTTGTTTTCTGTGATCTTGTCTGAATTGAGGCTGGGGCTAGGAAAGTCCCACGCACACACAGCCCAACGGGGGTGCGCGAAGGGTAACAGAGTTAGCTAACAGTTATCCCATGCATATCGAGGGCTCCCAAGACGAGCAACAAGCAGAATAAATCATAGCTTGGAATAAAGGATCGTGAGGGGTAGGGATGTATTTACGTTAGGCCCGTGGAGCGCTTGACACCTGCCAGGAAGGCGGAGACTAAAGTTCAAGGCACTGATTAGTTTGTATTCCTAGGCACAACAGAGACTTAGAACTCACAGAGAACCGCATCAAATGCGTAGTGGGTAAGACGGCCGAACTAGATTGCAGCGAACATCCAAGTCAGTCATGGCATGCTCTATGTTCTGGGGACCTCGGCTATCCGGGATCAACCAGCAAAGGTCTCTTACCATGATGCCAAGTAGAAGTTATCAACAATGTGGATATTGAGTAACCGGTAGTCACCAAAAAGCTTGAGAGACAAAAGTAAGAGGAGACCCAAGCTGTCATGGAGACCGCCTAAAGAGCGGTCACGTGTAAATTCACATGACGTCTCTAGAGTGGCTGGAGATGGGGCTGGTAAAACTGGGTACCTGACATAATCTATAATGTGGCTGCCGGATCGGGCTAAGGTGTCAGGTTGCCCACCTGAGGTGCCCAGATGCACTAGCCCCGATTCGGTCTATCGATAAGCAATCCCATCCCACCGAAATCCCCTTTCGCCTTTGGGCTCCGGGGATCTCTGAGCTGGGGCTCGATCAATTGGGTGTCTGTATTTGTCACATTTATTCGATAGAAAGACTCCAATCTACAGCGCGTAGGCCAGCACGGGGCAATCCTCCGCTTTTTTGCGGTCAACCCAGTCTGGAGTTGATATATATTTTTTTTTCTGCCTAGACTATTTATGCCGCCTCTGCCGACAACTGCAGCTCTCAGTAAATGAAAAATATAGGTAGCCAAAGAAAAAGAAAAAAGACCAGACAGATCCTCATATTCCATAGAATTCGTAGATTAATTTGGTATAGATAGTGTCTCGTGTCAATAGTATGATTGTCATAGTATGATCAAAAAAAAAAAAAGTCTCATGACGGATGGAACCAATACTCACACCGGCGGCCAACATTTTCCCTCCCGCCCCGCACCCATCCGTTTTCTCTTTCCCCTCCATCTCCCTCATCCTTTCTCTTCTACCATCCTCTCTGATTCTCAATTGATCAGAACTACTTTACCTTTTCTAAATAATTCAACAATTGTTGATCATATCAAAATGGCGGCTACCAACTCCCTCGACCACCTGAGCAACCGCATGAAGCTGGAGTGGCACTCCAAGCTCAACACCGAGATGGTGCCTGCGAAGAACTTCCGCCGCACCTCCATCATTTGTACCATTGGTATGTCAAACCAATAATGATAAACTCTTCAGGTTGACCCTGTCGAAGAAGTTGCGATGGAGAAAAAACCCCCCGAATACTAACAGGCAATCGATCAGGTCCCAAGACGAACTCCGCCGAGAAGATCAATGCTCTCCGCACAGGTATGGCAATGAAGTTTCCGATGGAAATGAGCAGCTTTGTTGGGTAGTTAGACTGACATTGGCCATAGTCGGTCTTAACGTTGTTCGCATGAACTTCTCCCACGGATCATACGAGGTCAGTATCTCCAATTATCATCTGATGAAGACTTTCACTGACTTAGTCTGTAGTACCACCAATCTGTCATTGACAACGCTCGCGAGGCTGCCCGTATCCAAGATGGACGCCCTCTCGCTATTGCTCTCGACACCAAGGGCCCCGAGATCCGCACCGGTAACACCGTCGGTGACAAGGACTTCCCCATCAAGCAGGGCACCGTGCTCAACATCACCACCGATGAGGCGTACGCCACTGCTTCTGATGACAAGAACATGTAAGGACATTCTCATTGCCGAAGACTGGACTGCCTCAATCGATATTCGCTCCATGTATCTGCGTGGCTGAACGAGCTTGACATGTGTGACGTGAACTGACAAGTGTGCGACGACAGGTACTTGGACTACAAGAACATCACCAATGTGATCACCCCTGGCAAGCTCATTTACGTCGATGATGGCATTCTGTCCTTCGAGGTGATTGAGGTTGTTGATGAGCAGACCCTTAAGGTCAAGTGCCTGAACGACGGCAACATCTCATCCCGCAAGGGTGTCAACCTGCCCGGCACTGATGTAGACCTCCCCGCTCTTTCGGAGAAGGATATTGCCGATTTGCGATTTGGTGTCAAGAACAAGGTCGATATGGTCTTTGCCTCATTTATCCGTCGCGGCAGCGACATCACGCATATCCGTTCCGTCCTTGGTGAGGACGGCAAGGAGATTCAGATTATCGCCAAGATTGAGAACCAGCAGGGTGTCAACAACTTCGATGAGATTCTCGCCGAGACCGACGGTGTTATGGTCGCTCGTGGTGACCTCGGTATCGAGATCCCCGCCCCCAAGGTTTTCCTTGCCCAGAAGATGATGATCGCCAAGTGCAACATCAAGGGTAAGCCCGTTATCTGTGCCACCCAGATGCTGGAGTCCATGACATACAACCCTCGCCCCACTCGTGCTGAGGTTTCCGATGTCGCCAACGCCGTTCTCGATGGTGCCGACTGTGTCATGCTGTCTGGCGAGACCGCCAAGGGTAACTACCCTTGCGAGGCCGTTAAGATGATGTCCGAGACCTGTTTGCTGGCTGAGGTTGCCATTCCTCACTTCAACGTCTTCGACGAGCTGCGCAACCTCGCCCCTCGCCCCACTGAGACCTCCGAGTCCGTTGCCATGGCCGCTGTCAGCGCCAGTCTGGAGCTGAACGCCGGTGCCATCATTGTTCTGACCACCAGGTATGTGCCGGAAAACCCTTTCTGTCGTTTTGTATGACGATCATACTAACAAATCCATAGTGGTAAAACCGCTCGCCTTGTGTCGAAGTACCGTCCCGTCTGCCCCATCCTGATGGTCACTCGCAACGACACTGCTGCCCGCGTAAGTCCAATTCGATCGTTAGATTGTCGTTCTTTGCTGACAATAGTTTCAGTACTCCCACCTGTACCGCGGTGTGTGGCCGTTCTACTTCCCCGAGAGCAAGCCCGACTTCAACGTCAAGATCTGGCAGGAGGATGTCGACCGTCGCCTCAAGTGGGGTATCAACCACGGTCTCAAGCTCGGAATCATCAACAAGGGCGACCCTATTGTCTGCGTCCAGGGTTGGCGTGGCGGTATGGGCCACACCAACACCGTTCGTGTGGTGCCCGCCGATGAGAACCTCGGTCTGACCATGGAGTAAATCTGTAAAGTCAATCAGATAAGCTTTCGGTGATCGATGGCCCAGTGTGCTTTTTTTTACCGCCGGTGTGCGGATGGGATACATACCTTCTTTCTTTCTCTGTTCTCAGTTTTTTTTTTGCTTTCGAAGCCAAGTTTGTTCTGCGCTGTGTGGTCTGGACCACAGTCTGGAAGGTTAATACATTGCCCATGTAAATGAAACGAATTTAATGCTTTCTGGTTAAATTAGTCGATTAGTGGGTTAGTAAAGACTAGACAATTCAAATTGAATAGGCATGAAACTGGTATTTTGTGCTTGAGTCCTTGTAGACTTGATGTATCGCCCGTCGAGAGTTCGCGATCGTCAGTAGTCTTGCATTCACATGCCAATGCATAGACTGACTGCTCTGGAGTCCATACGCGATTGGAACTGGAATGATCCTCTTGAAAGAGGACTCCAGTGGAAAGAGGAGGAAAAAAAAAACGAATGAACAAAAACCGGATGCGGGGGGACGCAGGGACCCGAAGGCAGGCCACCTTAAAATCCCCCGACACCGAGGCTTGCCCATCCGCCCGAGAGGGTGACGATATCCCCCGGGCACATGCCGCAGA